TCCTGCATGGCAGAGAAGTTGTAGGTGACAATGAAGGAAGACAGGAAAAGCAGACCAGACGAGGTGGTCATGCCGTAGGATCTGAGGTAGGTGGGGTAGACCTCAGAAGGAACAACCCAAGTGAGACAAGCGTAGCAGCCAAAGAAGCCCATGTACAGGGCCAAACCGATGAGGTAGCAGGCAACGGCACCGGTGGTATTGGTATCAGTAGGAATCTGATAGCTGGCGCCAATGATCACCAAGCCCACGAAGAAACCGGGAAGCATAGTGTTGGCCCAGAAGCGACGCCCGAACTTCTCCATGTAGAAGCAGGCGGGGATGGTACCGATGAGCAGAGAGCCACCACCGACAAGAGACATGTAGGTAGCCTTCTCGTCGTTGAAACCAATCTGCTGCATGAGGATGGACATGTAGTACATGATGGCATTGACACCAGTAAGCTGGCCAAGAAGAATCATGATGTTGGCGTAGACCAAAGCACGGCGGGCGCGGGGGACGGTGATGAAATCCATCCAGGGGAAGCGCTTGTTCTTGGCACCCTCGGAAACCTGCTGCTTCTCATCGACGACGGAGACCTTCATGACGAAGAACTCTTCTCTGGCCTCAGGAGTAGAAGTGCCACGGATACGCTTCCACACCTTGTAGGCTTCGAGCGTCTTGCCCTTGTGCATCAGGTAACGAGGGGACTCAGGCAGGAAGAGCATGCCGGCAAACATGATGGTGGAGAAGAGAAGGGATGATCCGAGAATCCAGCGCCAGTTGCCGGGCACGTGGATGAAGATGGCGGCGACGGCGTAGCCAAGAACTTCGCCGAGAGCGATGTTGAGCTGGTATAGGGAGACGACGTTACCACGGATGCGGCGTTCAGCGGTCTCGGCGACGTAGACAGGGACGGTACCACCCTCGAGACCGACACCCATGCCAAGGATAACACGGGCAGAAACGATCATGCCTTTAGGATAAGTTAGCCAGGCCCGGCATGCAGAAGTGAAATGATATGTCAATTGACTCACCAAAGTTCTGTGCGCCGGCGCAAAGTGCGCCACCAATAGTGTAAAGGATGCAAGAAATGATGATGGACATCTTTCGGCCGAGGTATTCGTTTGAGGGACTGAGGATGATGGCACCACCGACGGCACCAAGAGGCATGGCAGAGTTGACGAGAGAGTTTTGGCGGGTCGTAAGACCAAGGTCACCGGGGAGGAAGAGGTTGGCACCAGAGATGAGAGACTGATCGAGACCGGAGAGAAGGCCACCCATTGAGGCGAAGGCTACAATGAGCCAGGTGAAGTACTTGGTGTTGGTGAACTCCAGTTGGAAAAAGCCCTTCTTCAAACCACCAGCAGCCTCCAACTCCCGCTCCATGCTGTCGATGAAGGCATCGACTTCCCAACCACCAGCCGCAGCGATGGCGGCAGCATCTTTCTCGTTTACACCAGGAAGGGCGTTGGCGAGGTTCTCGACGTGAGCCTCATTTTGACTGTCCGGGTTGTGTTTGCCCGAAATCTTCGGGGCAAGATTGACTCCGTGCATGTTGTTGGGGGTTTCCGCGCAGCCGCGAGCCAAGACCTCGTCTAAACAGAGATTGGCCCAAAAGGGTAATAGTAGATCTGATTAAGGCTGATGCTAAGAAATGCGGCTCTGATGGTCCGGAGGGAAAAAGACACCTGCCAAGGAAAGACAACTAACAACAGAGACTGGGACGAGCCGGGCTTTTAATCACCCTTCACACTTCTTACCACTACTCACGGCGACACACTAGTAGATCAACAATAAGAGCGGCCAATATTCCAAGGCAGCCAACCCGAAGACGGCATTGATGGATTGTGGATTCCTCGCCCGACTCTCGACGTGACCATCTGTCTAACCTCGACACCAACATCGTCATCCGAAATTTTTGTATGGTGTTAGTGTGGAGACCTGGAGAGAAACGGCCGAAGTAGGAGCGACCTCTTGTCCGCACTTCAGGCCTCTTCTCCAGTGGAGAGACCCCAGGAACACGGAACACGCACTTGGAGAACATTAAGCAGGCTGGGGGAGAGGCCGGAGGGAGGGTGGAGGGCAGCTGTTGCGGGCGCTGGGCTCTATTGCCCTTGGGGCTCCAGACTTTCCTCATACACAATCTGCAGAGCGTGACCATGGGGCGACGCGGAGCCCGGGGTCCCAGTTGTCTGTTCTGGCCCCCATTTCTGGCAGGCAAAAAAGCAGGCCAAAGGACTCGCGGAGATCAGGCCGCGACGACCGTTCTTCTTCCCATCTGACTCGCGACTCCACATCCGCGCAGGATAGCGTTTGTGCGAGACCCGCCCGAAGGATGGGTGGTTTGACCGAAAATTCTCCCGGTACCGCGTTCTGGATCTACTCGGTGACAATCCGAAGCCCGCACCGTTCGTTCTCGTGACGACGACGGAAACGTACGGAGTCTCCGCGTGGAGAAAGCAGACTCCAGAGTCACCAACATGTTAAAATTTCTCACTCTGGGGATTGGATTGGGGAAGTTTTTCTGGGACCTTGGAGATGTGGGCTGACGTCAACCCTAGGGGGAAAAATCTAGAAGCGGCACATGGACAGTCAGACTCGTGTCGCTTGCGAGCAAGAAGTTTTCGGTGGTGCTCGGCGATGATAGCCGCCCGGTAACGACGCATGTTTCTTCTCTCTCTGGTTTTTCTCATGTTAATAATCTTTTCCCAAATACCCATGGACAAGACCTAGCATCCCCCCGGCCTTGCTGTATCTATTACTTTACAGAGAACGTGGTCTGACACATCACCACGTGCTGGGAACATTTCTCCTTCGGGACGAGCAGATCGCCATCGTCGTGCCTGACCGCTTGGTGGCTTGTTCCTAGCTCCCGCCAGCTACATGTCCCGGTCCGGGTGGGAAGCCGCATTCTTGGCTGATGACAAGAAATATCTGGCCGGCTTGGCGCTCCGTGAGGCGGCAGGGGAGTATGCCAGGCCGCAGCCGCCGCACCGATCGCGCGATGCCAAGTCGGCGAGCAGCGCACTAAGGCAGGCGAAGAGGAAGAGAAACGGCTTCCGACTGGTGCTAGTCCAAAGTTCGGCCTTCTAGCTCGTAGACCGGCTTAGCAAGGCCGATACGACACTCGTCCTGTTACAGATTGTCACGAAAATTCGTTCATCCCTTTTTAGCGTTGCGACAGGGCTCTCCTAGGCTTCATGTGGGGGGCAAAAGAAAAATTGGCAAGATTGCAAATATCAAGGAAACAATGCCTGAAAAACTTGATTGTAGCGCTCAAGACAAGGGTTCCAATCTGAGCGACCATGACACATTCTAGAAGTTCTCTAAACTCCGATGGATCATTAAAGTTGTCGAACCAACTGCCATCTCGTCGATTCAAAACACGATTTATGTTTTGCTGCTCATCGGCCTTTACTTAATTAGACCTCCTCTCTGGAGTTGGTTCACTGTTGTTCTTTAAAAGTCTGCCCGAGTTCGCCCGGCATTCATGCAACCCACAGAAAATCCCATCTTTTCCCCTCACAGACCATTCGAACCCCCGCGAAATGGAATGGAGCAAGCATGGCCGGGTCACATCAGCAACCTGTGGATCATTCCAATCATGTCTCATTGGCCTTTGACCCCTGCAAGGGTGTCCCGTAAGTCCGAAAGATAACTTTGACCATCAGGCCGGTTCAGCCGTTCGATCGTTACACTTCATCTATGCATGTGCGTTACCGGCGGTATGGACTTTCCTTTGTCAAAGATAAGGAGTTGCTATCTTATCGTTTTCCGCCGGACTGCGAGATTTCTTGACACGTCAATGGTATACTGACAATGATGTTGTTGATCGGTCGCCGTTGTGGCTTCACGAGTCAGACTAGAGGGCTAGTCCTGCCGATCTTGGCGCACCTTGTCGAGCTTGCCGCCGTTGTGAGCCCGAGGAGAATGGGCTAAGATGTGTGGCACTACAGGTAGGCCCAGAAGTAAAGCCGGCGCTATGCAAGCATTCTGCAAGTCAAGGAATGCTAGATGGACACTGTATTCGTACACAATACTGAGGGATAGCTATCAGTCTGTTCCCTTAATATCAGTATTAGTCTGGGTAGCTTATGATGTCAATGAAGCCTGTTCAAGTTGCCACAATTATCGTCGCTTTGACTTCTTAAACATGGCCTGCCTTCTGCCGAGCCGCCTCACCAAGTAAGTAATCGATCGAAAAGGCGGCTCATGGTCGTAGTTGTGAGACTTCGTATTGTTATCGGAAGAGCCACTTGAACTACCTCAAGAGAAGTAGCTTCCCGCAAACAGCTTCACTTTCGTCCATTCCGAAGACATCAAGGCATGTAGTGATTTTGACTTCAGAGACACAGACATTCCCCCAAACCAAAGGATCCGCTTATCTTCAAGCCAACTGCATCCGTTCGTCGGCTGGGCGAGTTCTACGCTGCAATCGCTGTTTTACTATTGTGTATACACCAGGGTCTAAAGGAGCAGGGTGTGGATTCCAGGATCTGGTTCTTCCATGCACCCCATCAACGGCGTTCGATTTCGACGCTTGGAATCAATCCTGAATATAGCTTTCATCTCCTTCCTGACAGCCACGGCCAGTCTCTTTTTGCTGGACGAGATACTTAGCTATCAGAGGGTTTGATCTTTCTGGACGCCGAGTTTCAGAGCGAAATTGTAGACCGGAAATATGAACAGCCCTTCAATTGCCAATGAGTGTTCAGCCGTCGACTCATGGATTTGCTGTAGACTACGCAATTCCCTTCGCCGTCAAGTCTCTCGCCAGCCTCAAGAAGTCAAGATTTCTCTGCGTGAACAGTTGCTTGCCGAAAGCGGTTCACTAAACGGCTGGTCAATAGTGCAATGAAGCTAAATGATCGTTTCAAGAGAGGCTTTCTACTTCGATCATTCATCACACAGATTTACGAATAAGTTGATAGAGGCTGAAGCTAGATTTCCAAGCTAGATATGTCGCACAGAAACGCAAGCTCATCAATAATGCTCTTGCAGTCTGAAGCAAGGGAAGACACTCAAGATGCATATCTCCACTCACTTGTTTCTCCAGAAATCCTGTCTTGCTCGTCCAAATCTTTGTTCTTCTTCCAGCAGTACCATTTGGTGATGAGAACGAAAATCACTGTCAACCCACATCCGGTAATGATAGCACCGCCTCCCGTCTGATAGTATGGTTCCTGGTTTCTCAGAAAGAAGTAAGGCGTAAACCAGTGAGAGACAGAAGATACACTGTTGGCGATTGCAATAAGAGCGGCTCTTTTCGTTCGTGGTCGAGGTACGACAGTTGTCTCCCAAGAAATTTGCAGCTGTTCCAGTCAATAATGGAGATTCTTCGAGAAAGAAAGAAATCCCATGAACGTACATTGAGGCCGAGGAATGGTCCGGTGACCAGCAAAATCATCGAGAAATATCTGGCACCAACGTTGAGTGTTGTGATCATCACAACGCACCCAGCCAGTGTAAACAGCATCGGCACGATAATGTGGTAGCCATGTTCAAGCATTCGACCGGACGACCAGGAAACTGCCAAAGTTACAAGAAAAGCAATAATCGGAGGTGGGGCTTGAATGAGGTACGTCTCGGTAGCGCCGAATCCGAGAGTAGCGAGGATCTAGAGAAGTCTGACGTAAGTAATGAAGTTCGACCTGTGGTGGGAGCTGACGTGGTTTTGACTGACCGATGGAAAGAAGTCTTTGTAAGACTGCGCGATTATAAGGCAGAAATGAATAGCAGAGAAAAGGTATGTGAATGGGTCTTTGAATGCCATCCAAACTCCACCCCAGTAGTCGCCCTCATCGTCTTCAGTGCGACCGCCGGCCGACACAGTTTGCCGGTACTGAGCCATTTGCGACTCTTCGGCAGTCAGGAAATAGGTGCCAGTCGACTCGGGAAAGTTGGGAATGAACCAAAAGCTTGCCAGACCAATAATGATGCTGACGATACCTACAGCTGTATTAGTGAAAGGAGAGTCTCGCCATATATCCATAAACTGACCCTCGAGAAGCAAAAACCACTGCCATGCTGATAGCCCGGCTATGCCATTCATATTGCGGAGGACTCCAGCAGCCAGAAGGCCAGAAATAGCCTGCGATATTGTGTTTCCGGCGTGCCAAATACCCATGCGGAGCGGAGACTCATGCTTCGTGTACCAAGACGACGTCAACAAAGACACCGCTGGCACGAAAGGGCCTTCAGTCAGGCCTACTACAAAGCGACACAGGAGAAAACCCCAACCAGCAGTGACAGCAGGCATACATAAAGTGGTAATGGACCACCCAAGCATACAGCACGGAAGCAAGATTCGTGGCTTTCCCTTCGCGATGATGACATTTGCGGGAACCTGTGAAATGATGTATCCCACATAGAAAAGCGAGATACCGGCAGACCACATCGTATCTGACATGTGCAAGTCATCTTGCATGCCGGCAAGTCGTGCGTTCGAGACGTTGATGCGGTCTAGATAACTGAACATAGAGAGTCAACAACTGAAGGGGTACATCATTGGCCGAACATAAGAGAACCAAGTGGGGGAGTTCGAGACTCACTTCATCATAAGCATGGCACACACCATTGGGAGAAACTTCCAATCGAGACGTTTGCGAACAGCTCTATCGAGTGCTTTGAGCTCCTCCGGGCTTTTGTCTCTTATGAGGTCGTATGGCTCCAGTAGAGGGTCGCGGGTAGGAGCGTTTTCTTCCCACTCAATGCCGACTTTGACATCGACTGAGCCGCTTTTAGAGCGGGGAGGAGTTGCCATGGTAGTTGTAGACTGTCTAATCCAGAAGAATAGCGCGCGATAAGAAGAGTTCAGAAATGGTATCGGACGAGAAGATTCCACATCTTTTGTACTCTTGCGACAGAATGGCTTTGGGGTATTGCTCAATTGAGAAACAGCATTTTGCAACAACAATTTCATAGCCAAACAAGCGTTCAAATTCCCCACATTGGAGCCCAGTTTCCCCGCGAATTGATCGTGGATGTGTTGCGGGCTGTCTGGGGTTAGTCCACTCTCTGCCACTACCGGAGCGTGTCCGATGATTGACGACCTTCCCCGGACTGGGTCCGGTCGGCATCAGATCTTGCAACCGGCCAAGTTCTTCGGGGTAGGAATTGTGCCTAGACTAGTGACAGCGATTGCTCGACTATTTTACTTCACTGACGGGAATCCCCGCGCTGACTTCTAGGCTGAGGCGTACTACCGTAGCTGTTTCATACAATTATCCACCACATCCTACTGATCAGGCACCCCGGCTGAAATGACTAGTCAATTATAATATATCACGCGTAACGAAGTAAATCATTGTGCAGTGCACTACGCTCATGTGTCATCCCGCTGTATCCGACTCTGTCCATAGTTATACGTGATTTACTACAAACATCTATGCAGACTTAGTGGAGCAGCAGTAGACGAGGTTTAGGGATACTTCCGAGAAGTATAATCCACAGTGTTGCGGCCCCCCCCCCCCTCTCTGCTTAACTAAGCCTTAACACGCAACTCATGTAGCGACCTGTAATCCTCTACGTGAAGGTAAATCGAATGAGTTGCTGAGATCGACGTGGAATTATATCTGGCAAATGGTTCCACGAGACGGTCTTTGAAAAGGTTAGCCAAACCACATTTGCAGAGAACCGAAAAACATCGAAACGGTCTCACATTAGATGTTGTTTCATCAGTTTCCATATTTCTGGTGGAAAGACTAAGTAAGACCTGTTGAAATGCTGCAAGTGCAGGAAATCGTGATGCGGCGATCGTCACAAGCGTCGAGGCTTTGCTAATGACTTCTGACACTTGGGCGAGTCGACGCGCGGCAAAGTCATTTTGACTTCTTCGACGGGTGAGGCATGCAAAAGCGACCGCAGCTTGAAAGATGTCATATGCATCAATGAAGCTGCAAACAAAACTTCCCTTAATAAACAGATCGTAAGATCGGTTGATAAACTGATATGATGTGTTAATGGTATCAGTCTCAAGATCTTGGTTGTTTCCTAGCCAAAATTCATTTCGCACGATTGTTTGAGGCGTCAAAGATGCAAGATGAATCAATGCCCGACAAGATAGCTGTTCAAAAAGATACAGAAGATGCGGAGCAGAAGGCGATTGACGATCAACGTTGGGAGGTAGATCTCTCCAATGAACGATATTACTGTAGGTAAGTAGAATGTCCTCTCGTCTTCCTGACCGGATACCTGAAACCAGTTGAGAGTAGAGTACAAGATAGCGAATGGTTTGCGATATTTGATGCGGCGTCTCCGTTGCAATGGATAGGCCATCGTCTTCCGCTGGGAGCTGAAGCATTTATGTCAACTTGGGATCGACGAACTCAATGCCTATGTGGTGCCTTCAACTTACGTGTACCGAAATGTAATCATCCTGGATACTCAAAGGGCGGTCCATGACAAGGCTGAGCATGCTAGGGCAGAGTTCAGTATTGGAGATTCTAAGTTGATCACGAACACAATTATGGCATACCGGTCAAAGGAGTACACGGCCCAAAACAACCATCGCCGTCTGCCAGCTTCAGGTAGCCCAATGCTCGAGTTCACGTCTGGCTCTCGGTGCAGGCCGAGCGAGATACATGTCTTCATAGCCAGACCCAATAAATGCCAGGCAGAGCCACCGGAGGAGTTATAAAGAGAGTAGATCGTAAGCATGATCATGCAGTGTATGTGCTCAAGAGTCGATTCGGTGCGCAAGATGGAAGGAAGTTCGCTGAGGGCGGCAGAGTGAAGGCTTGCGTTAAGAAATGAAAGGTGAGTAGAAGTCGGAGAGACCGAAATTCCAATAGCGCAAGCCATGTGAAGATTGAAAACATGTAATGGCGGAGGGCTCTGTGCAGCATGGCAGTCAGTTCTACATGCCATAACACCCTCACATTGCCGGAGAAAAATATCCTCGTCGATATATGGCATAATGATTGGCCATTCCAGGAATTTCCGGACATGCTCAAGCGTTAGATCCCGGCTCTCTGAACTGAGGCGACTGTTCATCTCAGGAGTTTGAGGCGCCGGCATAGCTGTGGATGGGTCGCGTCCATCAATAGCCAAGGCCCCGGAGATCACCTCTGCTAAAGAAAACTTCCAGGGAAGATCATCGGAATTATCTCGGGGCTCAGCCATTGCATTTCGTGATAAGAAGCCGATTGCCCCCATCGTGGCTCTCACAGAAGAATCTTCGGTGCCATGTCTATTAGTGTTGACAGTGTCGAGCGCACGGCTTGAGGTTATCGAGATAGCATCACGAGGTGTCTCAAGACTGTCATCCATTGGAGAAGAGCCATGACATGATTCAGCGTGACCGCTGTGCGTACGCGACCGTTTTCGATGAAGCGATTGTTCTTCCAGATTGGCGATCCGTCTTTTCAATGACGACACGTAACTTAGACTTATCAGCAAGCGTATCATCGGGCAGAAGACTAGGTTATATTATTACCCAATGACTGAAGTGTGAGAGAGCTCAGATACTGTGTTGAAATCTTGGTTCCGTGGAATACACTCGGCCCCTAACCCACTGCACGAGGTGCATGCCGGCAGACGTCGGTCGCACTGATGGCTGTCAGCTAATACTGATTTGTATGGCATCTGAACATCGGGATTCTAACTTTTTGTTTCCTCTTCCAACATCTTTCGCAAGCTTGTGGGCGAGTTACCGTGGATGTTAAGGGCGGCTCAGGTGTCCCCCTTAAGTTCGGAGCCTCCTGCGCACCTGCAGACGAAGTCGAACTCATAGCCCCACTACCTATTTTCTCATATTAAATGGTTCAAAGTCCGCAATGAGCCAGGTAGTGGAAGTGGGCGGTTGGGAACAAATGGCCGTCTTCGAGTTGGCATGATATGTGAGGTGGAAGCTGCAGGCTCAGAGTCTCTCGCACCTCCGACTGTTTGCCGACGTTGCGGGGTTTGACCCCCAAGCCTCCGTGGGGAAGACTGTGGAGGATCTGATTGGGCCACCCCCACATCTCATAGAGATGGACCACAGTTAGAGTCACCAGGGTTAATAAAGAGGCTACCATGCGATCTGATCAGTTATTGCCAGATTCGAAGCATCAATAAGTGACGGTCAGGGTTTCAAGATACAACGTGACAAGTAGGAGATCTACCCTCAATTCCACGTATATTTTATGTTTGCCAAAAGGCAGTATCTCATCTCGTAAGAGAGATACTGGTTGTGATGGGATCTATGATTTGCCATTTGTATGGGCAGTTGCCCTGATACTGAGGCTAGACATCTCCGCCGCTCTCTTCGCGGCACCGGCAATAAGCAAGGGGCCATCCGTTGCAGCCATGACCCAGCGCGCACCCATTTGACAAAACTTTTCCACAAGATCCATACGTGAGTGAAGACCTCCCACGCCAACCCACTTTCCGTGCTTATTGCAGGCAGCGATCGTCCGCTCATAGGCTTCTGTGAGCCTAGGGTTTTCGTAGTCGCCAGGGATACCCATCTCAGCCGTCAGATCGTTGGTACCGATGAGTAGAGAGTCCACTCCTTCAACTGCTGCAATCTCGTCGACTAGCTGTAGTGCCTCAAGAGTCTCGATCATTGGTATAACCAAAGTAGCGTCATTTGTGATGGGATTGGAGACCTTGGCAGGAATCGTACGGAACTGATAATGAGGCAGTCCGTTGGTTGATGATCGTGTGCCGATAGGTTGGAACTTGGCAGCCGCAACAACGTCTCGTGCGTCTTGCACACTGCGAATATGCGGCACAATAACACCAAGGGCACCACCGTCTAGGATCCTTGAGACAAAAAAGGGGTCCTTGCTGGGCGCTCGTACTATTGGCGAGATCCCGGCGTACAGCGCGGCAATGCACAGTTGAGAGGTCGTCTCGAGATCGAATGAAGAATGCTCCATATCGACGAGGATCCCGTCGAATCCTGCTGTCTTAGCCATCATGGGAAGTTCTACCGACTTGACTAGTTTGACGCTCAGAGTCGATGCAACCTCATCGCGGAGGAGTTTCTCCTTGAATGAGTGGGGAATAGAAACGGCCATTTCGGTTGGGAGTGGGAATGTTGAGTGTTGAGGACTATGATTGATTGATTTGCAGTGTGAAAGAATTCTTGGAGCACATGTAACAAAGGTATTGTTATATGGCTTTCCAGTTCTTGTTCGTGGACGGATGCCCGGAGTCATGCCGAGGATTTCCATAACCTCTTCGGCGCTTCCGCAAGCTTTTCGGCCCTCCGATCCCATGTTCAAATACAATCATTACCGAAACTCTTGGCCGGTCGTATGGCAAGTGTCTATAGTGTTGTTCCTCCATAAGATTGCAGCCGACATATGGAGGCAACGGGGGCCGTCCGAAGGTATCGGACCACCTCCGGATGGGTGTACAGGGCATGTATGGTGACTGATCTTTGTTGCCACCGTGTGGTCATTGACTCCGATATCCTGTTGTGTATTTTATGAATCAAATCGCAGTCCTCCAAATGTTCCTACATTTCCATATACAACGAACTTCAGACGATGCTCCAAGATCACGAATCGAGAACGTCACAAACTCATCTTCAATCACCGCCGACTGTTGTTTCTCACTACGATCAATAAATCTGTCAACATGACTCCAGGGCTCGTATCTGATCAATCTGAAAGCGTTCTTCTCGGTACTAAGCCAACCGTGTATGTCTTGGATTCATTTCAGCCTGAGATCATCGACTTCTGCAAACAAAACTTCAACGCAATCCTACCTGGACAATCCGAACATGCCAACTGGAAGGAAAACGCTCGTTTTCTTCTTGTGCGGAACTCGCGTCTCACAGCTGAGGATATCGCTGCTTGCCCGCATCTCCTTGCAATAGGGAAGCAGGGTGTCGGAATTGACAAGATCGATGCTGAGGCCTGCTCTAGACGTGGCATCAAAATCTTCAACACACCCGGCGTCAATGCGCGAGCTGTGGCCGAACTTGTTCTGACTTTGACGACAGCCGTAGCAAGACAAGTGGGAAGCATTACACGGAAACAAACTTCTGGTATTCTTGTACCCAAGGAGAAGTGCTCGGGTATCATTTTGCACCGAAAGACGATTGGCGTACTCGGCATGGGCAACATTGGAAAGGCTGTCGCCCAGATTTTCCGCGGAGCGTTCGAAGCTGACGTTGTGGCTTACGACCCTTATTTGCCTCACGACGCCTGGTCTGATATTCCTCATCGCCGAGCCCAGACGGTATCGGATCTGTTATCAGTTTCCGACGTGGTGACGGTCCATATGCCGTTGACATCCACCACTAGAGATCTCATGGGGTACAAGCAGTTCAAAATCATGAAGAGAACGGCCATAGTCATCAACACAGCTCGAGGAGGCATCATCAACGAGTGTGAATTGGAGCAAGCCTTGTCAGAAGGCCTCATCTGGGGCGCTGGTCTAGACTGTCACGAGGAGGAACCCCCTAGCAGGGAGAAATACGGATCGTTGTGGGACGTTGGTGCGGTTAGTACGCCGCACATTGGGGCAGCGACGAGAGAGACTCAAGTCCAAACGGGCATGGCAGCAGCTACTAAGCTGTTTGAATACGCGAGGAGTAGGGCGTAGATGGGGAGCTGCGCTGAATCAAACTTGAGGTTCTTTCATTCCTACTAGGCTTGACATCTTGGTTAGTCGGCAGCCAATACGTTCAGAGCCTGATTACAATATACTGCCTACCTGGTAAATCATCGCTGAGATTTACTGCAAGCCGTATGTATCATTGAAACTCAAACGCATCCAACGCTCCAATGTGCCTCTCTGGATCACCGTACACATATTCCCCCAAGGCGGATTCCATATTCCATAGTGCCTCGTCTCCTAAAAGCGCCCAGTCCATGAAACCGCTTCCCGGGGAGAAAGTGGCTGTGGCTGGTATTGGCCCACACGTATTTTTCGAACCGTGGGATAATGTTATAGGATTGCCCACCATGGCTCTCTCAACGGCAGGCACAAACGAAAGGTTGCTCGGAATGCTTCCTGGAAAGTTTGTTTCTTGAACTCTGGCATCAAGGTTCGTACTCAGGGCACTGGGTCCTGAGACGCACTGCGAACCAAGAATCGAAGATCCTGAGGCTACTAGCGGCTCAGAGAATCTTTCTGATGATTGCCGGAACCCGGCTCTCGTGTATTCCAGTGTCTTGCCTTGAGATAGGACGTCAGATTGTAAGTTCTCGAGAACTTTGTCTAGTTTTCGAGTGGTGTTTCGTCGAAGAGCTTCAAAGACGGCAACATATTGTTTGGCACTTGGTAACTGCTCCGCCATGTTCTTTAGTGTCTCTTCACACCGAATCAGTCCGGCTGAAGCATCCGAAAGACCTTCTTTGTCTATTTTCGTTGCGGTAGAAACACAAAACAGCACCGAAAGACCAGCGGTAAACATCATGTGGAAGTAGCTGCGGGTATGTGTGGTGAGTGGGCGCTGTTGGCACAGTCTTGAGTAAGCCCAAATTGTTCGAAGTGCAATTCTGAGGCATAGGACGGAAATATGATGGGGCGTCTTCCCGCCTCGTTTGGGCATAAGATCAATGGCTCGTCGGACTAGGTAAAGTTGCTCCCTAGCTAGCAAGAGATCATACCAGTCCTGCGACTCATACAGACATTTTGGCTGCTGGAATGCCGGGCAATTATCTCTCCAGTGCTGTAGGTCTTGCATCAAGCAGCTGAGAGTTTGAAATATATGACCAGGAGCCAGATGACTCTTGGAAGGTTGGAGGTAGTTGCAGGCAAGTCTAGAAAAATCGGAGTGGATTCTGGAAGAGATTTGCCGCAAACGTACGGAGATGAAGAAGACGGTCATCTCGGTCGTGTCCAGGGTGGCGTGGGATGATCGAAAAGCCTCGAAATTGCTTGAAATTTGATTAGCAGTGACAATTTCCTCGTCATTTGCATCCGCCGGAAAGCCGACTTCAATATCGCAATCATCGATACTAAATGGTTTTCCCAGGACCGTAGAGCTATATCTGTCGATCATGTAGACTTGCCAGAAAACTCGTCGCTTCATTTGAACTTGCATGAAGTTCATGGAGTCGTTATCGTTGTGGTGCAATCCTTGTTCGATGCACAGACGACCACACAGCCGAACGACATCCCAAATGGACGTGCCTTTTCACAATGAGCGCTCGTAATTCATTCGTCAAAATTCGAACCAGACATACCTATCCGATGATAGATACCAAAGCGGCATATTAAGAGCAGGTCTTGGATTGAGGCTAGGCCTCGTGTAAGAAAGTCTGGCCCCATACGTTGCAAGGCAGCGAGATAGTATCCTTCGGGGTGCTGGTCGTGGGTGCCATTCAGGAATGGAAGCACTGCACCGATTGCAAGGATCATACATGCGCGAAAAAGATCGTGATTTGAAGCAGGTTGGCCGGCCGATTCGTGTGAGAAGACCCGGCCACAGAGACTCTTGACCTCGTCTCGGCGAAGAAAAGGACTTTGCACGTGAGACCAACTCAGACTATGCAAAATTGTCACAACAATGGTTCGATGGGTGCTTGAAGATGAAATCTTACTATTTATCGAACAGAGCCTTGCCTTCTTCGTCTGGAGGAGGACCACAAGGTTGAAGAATAGGTTCAGAGGCGCTAGGAACTCTCGCCAATAGTTGTAGTAATTCGGTGTTGTTACTTCTCAAGTCTGGATCTGCGAAGAGAGAAGCCATGAATCTATTTGAATCTTAGTCATATTACTGTGCAGGCACCATAGTCAATTGCGAACTCACCCGAGTCCCTCTCCGTGTGAGACAGTTGAGTTCTCGATCGAGATGACAGTTGGACCAGTCTCTGCGGCAGGCTGGTTGGCATCGTCACACGATTGGACCTCATCGGCGGGCAAGGTGTCCACATCTTGAGTCAACTGTCTTTCAAGCTGTTCTAATCGATCTATTTCTCTACGCGAATTCGTCAGCTCCCCAAGTATTTAACACTCAAATGTAGCGAGTTACATCAACGCCTACGCTCGTGAAAGTATTCTGTCACCACCAGGATTGAGCACAACGCAGTCGCTGCCAGTTTTTGAACACGGAGTACATGTTGGCCTAGTGCTGTCACACTGGGAAATACATATTAGCCCCCCGCTTACGTTCTTGAAGTCGACAGCGGCACATACTTTGATTTTCTTTTGATAACATAACTGGCAGGCTGGGAGCCGGGGTAGTCGATCTGCTGCGGAGCTCATTCTTTGAGCCGAGCTGTCAAGTCATGGAATGCTTTCAAGAATAATGCGCAGATTGCAGCTGGTGTAACCCATGTGTTAAGCGATCGATATTGATTGTGACACGATTTTCGGAGTGGCTCCGACGGTGCGTTTGAAGATGGGGAAATCGGCTTTGGCTCGGCTACTTTGATCACAATTGCGAAGTGAGGGGTTGACCCCTCCCTGTAATGGGTCGGAATCACTCCGAGCAAGTTGCTTTTCGCGGACCTCCGAATCTTACTGACTCCGCCGTCTCGAGTGACTTTCTTTTCTGCAATAAAATTGCTAATAGCACCTGTAAACGAATGCAAAAATCTAACGTCATTGGCATATCTACTATCGCTTAAGGCTTGGCTGCGGTCGTGCGCCTCGACAATGCCAGTCGAGCTTTTGAATATTCCCCTCCAAGCTATCTGTGATAAAGAGGGTCTTATTTTCTGGACCACCAAAGCAGCAGTTCGTCAAGTTGATGCCGAATGTTCCACTCACGATGCGTGCCTTGGGGATCCCATTGGAATCAACCACAAATACGGACCCCAAGCTTGGATGACAGATGAAAAGACTGCCTTCTTCATCGATCGCCAGGCCGTCTGGACCAGCGTTTCCAAATGACTGGAAAAAGACGCCAGCTTTGGTTGTTGTTCCATCGGGATGAAGAGGAAGCCTCCAGACCTGGTTGGATCTCGTCATGGCGACGAATAAGAACCTTTCATCAGGTGAGAGAACCAGTCCATTTGGGGATACTCCATTTTCTACAAGTGTCTCCAGCTTTCCGTCAGGTAAAAGCCGGTAGACTTTGCCAGTTGGATCTGTCATGCCGGTTTGACCTTGGTCGGTGAAGTAGATGCTTCCTTTCGAATCGACAATCACGTCATTTGGGCCTTTGAATCGCTCTAAGTGACGCCGGGTGATCAACGGTTTGATCTTCCGATCAGAAGGATCGAAGGAGAGTATTCCCTAAGCACAACCGTTTCGGTGAGGCCGAGATCCCAGGAGTAATACCGCAGTTTGGATCTACGAACCTGCTTGTAGTCGGCAATAACCAGTCGACCATCGTCGGTTGCCGCAAGCCCATTAGGCTCGCCGTCCCATTCTGCAACAACACTTATAGTCTTTTTTGGGTCAATCCTGAGGATTCGGCCGTAGGGAATGTCCACTATGTAAAGGTTGCCAAGATCATCGACGATTGGGCCCTCAAGGAAGATGTGTTGAAATGGGCGCGCAAAGCCACCTCGCCACTCAGTTTCTTTGCCATGGCAACGAAGCTCATCTGGAACTCGAATGTAGAGTTCAGCTTGTATGATCGGAGGTACCGGGTAAAAGTTCATTGCGTGCAGTAACTTAGACGATTATTCTGCAATTGGCGATAATGAAACTCAAGAAGACGGTGCAAAAAGTCAAGGAAGCATGCTAACCTTGAAAGAAGCGGGCATTCTATCATCTCTATTCTCTTTGGTGCTTCGCGAGGTTTATGCGACCATGCAATCGACCTGGACGGAAATCATCCGGTGGTCCTGGTGTCGTCGGACTGAGCCCGGACCTAACTTTCGGTGTGTGTCCGGGTGGTGTTTAGAACGGTTACGTTAGTGCCCCACTGCTCTACGCACACCTTCCCCGAATTCTGGGGTTTAGCAGCTTACGGGGTCCGGGGAAAGCTAACGGAGCATGCCGTGGGTAAGAGAGAATATTATTTCAGTCAGGACCGTCCTTGCCAGCATTTTGAAGATGACAATCTGTTACGTGTAGGAATCAATCCCCACGGAGGATGTTATTTCTGCAAGCTTCTTACAATGTCTCTCATCAAGGCCACAACTGCAGCCATACGGGACAATCCCAGAGAGATCTTCAACCGCTATTTGGTTTTATGCACCTGGACATGGAGCTTCTCAGGGGTGGCGAAAGGTTTTGACGAGGGTAAGTCACAGTATTCGACTACTTTTATTCTCAAAGACTACTTGCTAATGGATATCCTTCGCAGGTAATATTGCATCTGTAGTCACCATGACCGTCTTCAAAACCAGATTTGGGATCGATGGCCAGTCTGAGAGCGAGTACTCAAATACCAAAGGCTGGATCGTGGCTATCGCAACGGCTGGTGCTGTCTTTGGTTGCTTGGCTTGCGTAAACCTTACTGAGAAGTTGGGCCGCAAACGAACGATGCAGATCTTTACATTGATTTATGTTGCTGGCATTCTCGGGCAGACTTTCTCTTCTGGAAATATGGCGGGACTTTATATTTCTAGAATCATCGCTGGTATGGGTATTGGTGCTACAACTGTGCTGCCTCCAGTGTACATCTCCGAGGTGAGGATGAGGACTCCTATGAAGAACGATGACCGCAAAGACTGACTCGCGTTGTAGATTGCACCTCGATCGATCCGCGGTCTTTTGACTCTACAGTACACATGTTGTCAGCAACTTGGCGTTGTATTCGGCTTCTTCTTCAATTACGGCATCACAAAACACTACGCAGGGAACCAAATCCAATGGCAATTACCGACTGCCCTTCAAGTTGCACCAGCGATTATCTGGGGCCTGGGAACATTCTTCACGCCCGAGTCTCCCCGTTTTCTGCTCTCTTGTGGAAAACCAACAGAGGCTCTCAAGGTCCTCTGTGACTTCCGTTGTCTGCCAGCCGATCATCCATATGTTGACGATGAGTTTCGCGCGATGCAAGCACAGTTGGAACACGAATTGGAGATTGTGTCAGGCGCTTCGGTTTGCGATCTTGCTAAAGAGACGTGGACCGATATGCCAAATAGACGACGATTTGTATTGATGTTTCTAGCGCATTTGTTTTCTCAGTGGAGCGGAGCCAATGCCATGTAAGTGCAACGACCCCTACAGCGACAACACCCCTCTGACCTATGGCCCGTTTCAGCACGCAGTACAGTCCGTCCATCTTTGGGTATCTGGGGATACAGGGTGAAGAGGGTCGTCTTCTTGCTACCGGAGTCTATGCCATTGTCAAGTTTGTTTCAGTCTTAATATTCTCGGTCTTCGTTATCGATTTCATCGGCAGAAGGCGATCTCTTCTCACTGGAATCTGTCTCCAAATTACCACGCTTCTGTTCGTTGGTATTTACCTCAAGGTCACCAATGGACGTGACCCAGAAGACATTTCTGCAGATCCAGCAGCGCGACGAGCAAGCGAAGCTGCCATCGCGGCCATTTACTTGCATGCAATCGCATGGTCTATAGGATGGTTTTCCATCCCATATCTCGTCAGCGCAGAAGTTTTCCCCATTAGAATCAGATCCCTGTGCGTATCTGTTCTCATGGCCTTTCACTGGGCCTTCTACTTTGGCTGCTCGCGAGCTATGCCATCCCTTCTGGCCGCTACAGAACGCTATGGCGCGTTCATATTCTTTGCGAGCATCTGTTCTGTCTCACTCGTGTACGTTTATCTTGCCATGCCGGAAACCTCTGGGAGATCTTTAGAGTCAATGGAGAACTTGTTCAACCGGCCTTGGTACACCGTCTACAAGGTTGCGTATTCAAAGGCTGAAGATCTTGCAGCTCGCCCGGTGGTAAGACAAGATCACGAAAAAGGGGAGGGAGGGAAAGAAGAAGAGAATGGTGCGGCTATGCACCTGGCTTAAGACTTGATTGCATGTTATGGTATAGATTCTATGAGCGATAGTCTTGTATCTGAAGCTCTCGGGATGACTTGACGTGTACGCTGCTCTGTCTTGCTAAACTTGCCTTCAAGTCTTGGCACAGATACCTTAGAGACGGTGACAGCTGTTTTGTTTGAGCTTCGAGTTTGTGTACCAAATAATCAGAAAGTCTAGAAAATTTGGCGTTTGAGAGGACTCGGCCTCGCCTGTGTTCGTAAGAGCCTTTTTGGGTAATGACTCTGTTCGGGAGTCTTGCCCGAATTTTCTGCCCTGTCATTCTTTCTGACAAAGTCTGAGCTTAGGGGTAAGGTGGGATACTTTGGGGATCTTTGAGTCTAAAAGTATCGGGCGCCAGGCGTCTTATCAAGATCTATGCCCTACCTTCTTACCTTCCCAGTCCAGCAGTGACGCAATCCAGGCTTTTGTCAAAAGTAACTTGAAAATAGAAGATGGAACGATCGGAGCTAAATAAACACAGATCGACTAAGGACTTTCCGCGGCTTTGCGGCTTGCTCTGGACTGTCGCGACACTGACGGAATTGGAATCCTACGCTGCTCAAACCTCGTCCGAGACTAGATGTGACGGACTTTGGCTTTGTCCATTCCTGCCTTGACATAGGGCGGAGCCAGCGGCTTTATTCGTCCCAAACATTGCAGTGCCTATCTTTTTGAGCCATCGTCGCGATGATGCTCTTGATCATAAAAGCCCATCGCATCCTGGACGGGTGCCGACGGACTCCATGTCTGAGCTCCAAACCTTGTAGACCGGACGACTCCAGCTGTTCCCCCGTGGCCCCAGCTTCCTCTTGTACGCCAACCTGAGTGGCTAGAACATATTCCCAAAGCAACCGTAGAACACGCATCACGCGTCAGTCTGGTTTCAAAGGCCGTATACGATCAGCTACAGCTGACCAATATCGCTGGTCGGTCAAGTTGGGGGATTCCGACGATCGTTGGCAGAGTCAGCAGACTCCTGCTGCCTGGTCGTATAAAGTCGACGTGTCTTGTGTTCACGCTGAGTTGATGAGCAGTTAGTGGTGTTAAAGAACTTATGTCACTGTTAGTAAGATGGACATTTTGAAGACGAATCCTGTTTATCTCGGTGGTGCGCTCGTATGCATTGCACTGGCTGCGGTACGTTTTCAACTCACCGGGCTTCTCACTGATGTATCTAAAAGTACATACCACTGACAAATGGCTTGCTAGTACGTCTATGCCGGGCTCACAAACCCGTTGTCGAATATCCCTGGGCCATGGTATACTAGGTTCACAACACTGCCGTCGACATTCAAGGTCATCACAGCACACCATCCCGATTGGATCCACGATCTACACGCCAAGTACGGGCCGGTGGTGCGATACAGTCCACACGAGGTCGATATTTCTGATCCACCAACATGCCAGCGGATTCACAGCGTGAAGACTGGATTCTTCAAGTCGCCATTCTACTCACTTCTCATAACGGATTCCTCTAGCGTGTTCAACGAGATACGCCCAGAGATCCACCGCAAGTACAAGCGTTTGTTGTCAAATCCCATGTCAGAGACTGGCTTGAAGACGTTCCTCCCTCGCATCGACAGTAAGGTCCGCTTGGCCATTGAGCGCATCCGTGACGAAAACAAGGTTCGAGGTGCAGCCGACATTGCGAAGTGGTTCATGTTCCTCTCGTTTGATGTTATCGGTGATCTAGCCTTTGGAGAGTCCTTCGGCAATTTGGAAAGCGGCAAGGTAGGTGGCATCCTCTTCAAAGTTCCGACGAGACATTTGGGGCTTGCACTAAAACCCATGGTTTTGAGTAGAAGAATCGATCTGTCAACGACTTCGTCAGTCTCGGTTTCGTCGGCGGATTACGGTCTATGTTCCCCACAATCGCCCAAATCTCTCTCTACCTTCCGATTCCAGTCTTCAAGGAAGCCACCGCAATCCAATACCGTACTTTTGACTACGCTCAGGGTGCCCTAGACCGCCACGCTAAGCGCGTCGAAGAGACTGGATCAGATCCCCACCCGACAGTCTTCTCCAAGCTCTACAACGCCGGCGAAGAAGAGACCTGGAACCCGATCGAGATCCGCGACAACGCGCAGGTCTTCATCGTGGGTGGCAGCGACACGACCGCCAACTCGATGATCTACCTCGTCTGGGCGGTGTGCAAGATTCCCGAGATCAAAGCCAAGCTCATGAAAGAGCTGGGTGCTCTTCCGGACAACTACACATACGATCAGTTGAAGGAGCTGACGTATGTGAACTGGATTGTCAATGAGACACTACGACTTTACACCGCTCTGCCGTGTGGGCTTCCAAGGATTGTACCCCCTGGCGGCGCGGAGCTTGCGGGACAGTTTATTCCCGAAGGATTCACTGTTACAACGCAGGCGTACAGTCTTCACCGGGACGAACATGCCTTCCCTGACCCCTATAGATTCTATCCCGAGAGGTGGGAGAATACCACGCAGGAGATGAAGGATTGCACCATGCCCTTTGGCGGTGGTGCCCGAAGTAAGCACTACTCCGAACCACGGCAGCTCTCGCCGTTGAGAAAACGTTTTGCTGACAGCGAGAAACAGCTTGCTTGGGAAGGCATTTGGCTCGTATAGAGCTCCGGCTCATCACTGCCAGGTTTTTCAAGGCTTTCCCGAAAGCAGTTGTGTCCAATCTCGAAGGCATGTGCGACAAGGATATGGAGCCAGCGTTGCATTTCCTGATGGTTCCCAGCGGTCATCGATGCTTGATTAAGCTCGATGGCTAATTGTACATTGGACTGTTGGCATAGAGAAGAACATGAGGGACATCATGAGTTCTTTGGATACGTCAAATTGTACCGTGAGCCTCGTTTTCGCGAACCAGTGTGGAACCAAGTCGGTTGGACAGGACTTGGAAGGGCAGAAGCGGGGCAGAAGCTGAACCAGTTGGCTTCGGGACCCCTTGCGGAAGCAGAAAAGATCCGGCAGGCTGCATATCTCAGCCTGCTTACGTGGGACGATGACTGACCGTATGGAGACTTCAGAGCTTCAATCGAGCTGAGCTGACACTCCTGTACTGTAGTGTTCTTCTCGGAAGCCAAGGCATTTAGTCCGGCGGGGAATTCGGATGCGGAAGTAAACTTTCCCATGTCATGCCGCGTTGTGGAACTGGGGTACGGACCGCTAAAGATGGATGTGCACATATCGAGGTACTTTCCTTATCAAAATGAAATCAATTGACTGGAAGTACATGATCCTACACAGCCTAGCCATTGGAAACTAAAGCCCGCACGTTATCTCCTCTAGTAGGGGAGGTCTCAGCTAATTCCATAGATGACAAAGACACAGCTGAGCTGCAGCAACCCGCGGGCGATACGGAGCGGGGCTCAAGGGCGCCGTGCCCCGCCATCGGCTGCAAGGATCCCACTACCCCGCTGCGGCCCCCTTGTGGCGGAATGGTTCGACCGCGCCCTATGACTTCATGCTGAGCCGCCCGTGGTTCAGACTTCCTATGTAAGCCTCAACTAGCACACACCTCTTCACCGCCACATCCATATCATACGCTTGTGCCCTCCTCAAAGCCTCAATTGACTGCCCCTGAGCTCATTCCATCTCATTGACACCCCATACACCGAAGCAATGGCCGAAACTCCAAGCGCAAAGCGTCAAAAGTCCTCCAAGGACGTCTCCTACGAACTCATCTACTGGCCAGGCCTCCCCGGCCGCGGCGAACACGTTCGTCTCCTCCTCGAGGAGGCCGGCGCCGAATACACCGATACCGCACAGATCGAAGACGGCGTCAAGAGCGTTCTGGCTCAGATCGACGACAAGAACCTGGGCGACGAACACAACCCGCCTCCCTTGGCGCCTCCCATCCTGAAGCATGGAGACCTCCTCATCAGCCAGACGCCTAACATCCTGCTCTACCTCGGACCACGCCTCGGCCTCGCACCCAAGATCTCAGAGGGTGACGACGGCATCTACATTGTCAACGGTCTTGCACTGACTGCGCTGGACGGACTCAGCAACGAGGCTCACGACACGCACCACCCCATCGCGACGGGTCTGTACTACGAGGACCAGAAGGAGGAGAGTAAACTCAAGGCGAAGGACTACATCGCCAATCGGTTGCCCAAGTTCTTTGGGTACTTTGAGCGGGTGCTCAAGAGCAAGGCCAGCGGCGAAGGTCCATGGCTTTACGGAGGCTCTTTGACATACGCTGACTTGGTGCTCTTCCAGGTAAGATATCGCTTCCGAAGCGCTGTGGTTCTAAGGATGCTAATTCGATCAGTGTATCGATGGTCTCAAGTTCGCGTTCCCCAATGCTCTGAAGCGAATCGAGGCTACTGGCGACTACAAGGGTCTCTTTGCGCTCTACGAGGCTGTCAAGGAGCGGCCCAAGATCAAAGAATACCTCGCTAGCGATCGTAGACAAAAATATTCGCAGGGCATTTACCGTCACTATCCTGAATTGGATGAAGAGTGACAGTGAGACTGGTGTCATCTAGAAAGGTTCATTGCCCGAACATATGTTAGGATGGACGAGTTGCAATAAAATTCATATGTTCAAGCTCAAATAGTCGTATATGTTTCATTCAACAAAAGCATCACCTTGAAATTATATGGCATTGTTTTCCCAATCATCCCATTCTCGGTAGCCCGTTCGCTCTTGCCGTCTATTGCGATCTCATACCATTTTGAAAGTTCACCCAGTTGTTTGTTGTTCTGCTTTAGAACACACCACAATTCCTCGCGTCTTCACAGCCTTTGGACCCCGCCTCATCTTTTTCCCCACACCAACTCAATCTCTTGACCCTTTATTCTATCGCCACCCCGAATGCTATTTGATTATCCCAATCGCATCACCAAAGCATACACATACTTAGTGGTCTTGGATTTTGAGAGCGATATCGGAAGATCACGTTACTCAGTCATTTTCAAGCTGCCCAGCATGAGCGATCAACAGAATCCCGCACCTCTCAAGGATCCATCGAATAAGGAGTCGAGTCTCAACGCTCCTGGCAACCAAAATCCATCGATTGCCAGGCTCGCGAGGTCTTGGGGCCCTTACACACCTCCCGACATGAGCTACTGCGCTCTAGAGGTGAGTATCCTTAGCAGTCTGTTTATTATTTGTCATTGCCGCCTTAATATCAAACCACTGACTGATCTCAATGGTTTTGATAGCACGATGACCCAGTCTTGCTGGAGAATATCAAGATGCTCAAAGAACTCACGTCTGAGTGCGACGAAGATCCTACCGACCTCCTCGACGTTGTGATGAGAGTTCCACCTAGGCTGAGTAAGTCGATTGTTTACCTGACGGTTGGGCTCCTTCAACACCAAAAGCTGGTCGAAAATTTACTCATGGTGACCGAGCTGCGTGCTGAGAATGATGCTGGGCCCATCAGAAACACAAAGAACGGCCAGCACGTGAAGAATGGGAAGAAGACAAAGACAAAGACTAGAAAGTTGGCCGACATCAAGGAGGACAACGAGGACGATGAGAATGGTGGTTCCATGGCTCCCAAGGGTCTAGAGAAGAATGACCAGAAGAACGAAACAAAGGACAACATGAGCAAAGCTTTTGGCCCCGCCGAGAGCAATACTGTGGCCAACACCAATCATCTGGCGGTACCCAAGAGCAAAAGGAAGAAGGCGAAGAAGCAGAAGGCCGGCAACGCCATTGGGATTGCTGAGAGTAATCCACAGCTCAACACCGACCAGCGAGCAGCCTCCTTGAACACGAAGACCACGGCAAAGTATAAGAGTAGCAGAGGCTCCGGGACTATTGAGAGTAACGCTGGAGCAATCACCAAAAAATCGACAGTCTCTAAAGGCAAGAAAGTCAAGGCAAAGGAGAACATTGACAACAATTCCAAGACCGTGAAGAACCACCCAGGAGCCAATATCAAACAGCAAGCAATAACCAAGAACAAGAATAAGATGGCTAAGACCAACAAGAAAGACAGTGCGGCGGAAACCCATGAGCAAGCTAAGAAGACGCAGCCCAAGAGTTCCCCAGAGTCGTCAAACGCGCAGAACAACAATAAGGTCGAGAGTTCCCCCAAGCCCGACAAGGGTGAGAAGAAGGCAAATGTCAGCGAGACAACCGATGGCGGATTCTTCTCCGTCCTTGAGATCGAGTGCATGAAGAAAATACAGGGTCGCATTGAACGCGGGATCAGAGATTGCCAGGAAGTGTGGACTGTGGTGCAAAAAATGGAGGAGGCGACAGAGTCGGAGTGGGCCAAAGACAGAAAGATACAAACCCAAGAACAGGCGGAGTGCTCCGCTGCGGGCGGTTAGTCTTTACTCCAAAGGATTCCATTGAATCTAACCTCAATGTCACTTGTCAGGAGAGCGGAATTTGGATGAGGAGAATGACAAAGTCTGGGTGAACAGCCTGAGAGGGGACGAGGTGGACTCCGGGATCAGGAATCGTAGGCAAGACTTGGCAGCTCTTGATCTATATATCCTTCACCAGTCATCCTTATAGAAACTGCAGCAGTGTGCTCATTCATCAATGAACGTGAAATGCGAAGTATGGTGTGAGAAGATGAACCTCTTTATCTGGATTAGGCAAGGAACTCTTGATCAAAAAAGCACTGGCTATATTCACATTAATTGAGTAAGAACTGGAGATGCTGGTGAGAATTCCATTGCGGACACAACTAGATTGACTGTGTGGTCGAAAATAAACAAAACGATACTGAGGCAGGCGCACCCCTTTCGCACCTGCACCTGGGGCGAAGAATATTTTCCCAAATCTCACTTTTCAGCTTTCTCTCGCCTTTCTCCCTCAACATAAGGTACTCACTTCATTCAACACACTCTCCTTACTCCCACGCCACAAACAGAGGGCGATATTCCATCATTCTCTCACTCTTGGCCACTTTGGCATCACAGACAATCGCCCAAAATCACAGTCAAGACAAATCAAAGCCATGTCTGACTCTACTTCGAACTCTTCTTTGGATTCTGCTTCGGACTCGGCCTCGGAGTCTGCCTCTGACAGCGACGGTCCTCAGTTGCCATTCCGCAGCAGCCGCAACGCCGCGAGACGCAGACGCAGAGCCCGTCAGGTATGCCCTTCCCAATCCTCATCCTTTCCCTCCTCGCTGTATCTCAGAGGTACAGTGTGAGGCTGGCTCAAAGGAAAAATAAAAAAAGATCATTCCTACTCACCTCGGTCTCACAGATGCAAGAACGGCGTCTCTATGAAGCCGATCTCCCTGATCATGACGATGATGACTCTGATGATGGCTCTGCAAGCGAGTCTTCGGTGCAGTGGGCTACGACCCTTTACGCCACTCCCGAGCAGCTGAGAAACCTGCCTCCTCTTCCTCTCAATAACTCGAACTACATGGCCGACAATGCTTCGATTTCTCATCCCGTTGACCCCGTCCTGGACTCTCCTATCCTTGCAGAGTCTAATTCGGAAGATTCTGAGACTGGCCTTAGCAACGCTGTCTTCGATGATTCTGACATCGATGAGGCTGCTTCCGACATCTCTGAGGATAGTCTCGCCGATGTCGTCCCCGATCCCCGTGTTCTCGAAGCGATTGCCCCTGCGGGTTCTGAGCGAAACCCCATCGTAATCAAGAGCGCTCGCATCATCACCAGAATGAGAGCCAGAATTGCGGAGAACCCTGCCAACGCCATTCAAGAGCGCCGAAATGCCATTGAGACCATCGGCGAGATCTTTCCGTTGCGCCTACTGACTTATGGTGGTGGCCTTTTCACTCCGTTCCAGCCCCTTGGCGTGTGGCATGAAGATACCCTTCTTAGCGACATAAACGCCTCATTGGCACTGGAGCTGGCTTTCAGCCGTCTGGTCGAGTGGTCCGATACCGTCAGGGCCCTCAGGGATCTAACGCGACAACTCACTGAAGAGGTCAGTGACGAGGAGTATATCACTGCCGAGGAGTTCCTCACTGACGAGGAAGACTAGTTGGGTCGAATTAATCAGGAGCTACATGGTGTTCGAGAGATGTTGGAGGGTCGACACCATGTGCAGTCGACACCTTTGCTTACACAGTCCGAGTTGAGCGACATTAACAACACTGTCCTTAGCCCTCGCGAGCTGCGCATCGAGATCATCGAGTTCGTAGCCAGGGAAGTGGGCTTCATTGCTGCCTCGACTTACATCAACCGCTACCACCTATACCTCCTGGAGACCCTCTCCTATCGCCCCCATCTTATCATCGCGACGCTGTGTTGGGCAACTGCATTGGCTTTGTTGTTCTACTTGTTCTTTGCTGTGAGATTCTGAATGATCTCCTAAGAGGAGGTCTAGATGGTCTATAGGGGTTATCGGAAGGCATGTTCGGAATTGGAAAGCCACCTGGCTTTGTGAGTTATCGCTATTTGGAAGGTAGTCTTCCCATGGAGGACTTCTCATCATGATCATTAGTGCCAGAGGTAGCTTAGGGCAAATGTTACACAAGAGCTACCCACAGACCACATCTCACTCATTCCGACCATGTGTGGGCAGAGCATAATCCGAGACGTAAGGCCTTGCAGGACTCTATCAGAATAGCTCACGTGCCATGTCGGATGTTGAGAAAGCATAGTTCTCAACTCGGCTGCAACACTTTATGTTTGACCTTTTCAGACCGCGCCAGCCATCAGAGATAGAGGTTCAAATGAGGGGAGAGAAGGATTCAAGGCCTGACGACTATAACACGGGCAATTCTAATTGACAATACTGGATAAGGGATGTTTAGAATGGGTATATGAGGTTTTGAGGAAAGCTCATCAGCTGGACGCAACACGTAGGTGTTCGTAGCAAGTTCAGTCCATCCGCAAACCACCCATGACTCGCGGCACCGGTGTCGGGATCATAAAGCACCGCCACCTTGGGATCCGTATATTTTTTGTTTTTTCTCAGGGGCGTGCTCCAGCTTTTCGGCCCAGTGGTGCCCAGCCGGGGCCCGATGAATAAGGGGGTTTTCTCCACAAGCTTCCCCAACATCGTTACCCTGGCGTGCAGGCGGAGAAAGGCAATTGCCCCAAGATGAGTTGGAGAAGCTCTAGAACTGCCAATGTCTCTCAATAAACGGTCACATGAGGCAAGTTAAAATTGGAATTCCAGCCACGAGCTCTGTTGCGTCGGTGACAATACGAGAAGAGACCCTGAATTGCAGGGCTCAGTTGCCAATAGCTCGGATATAACAAGGGTTTTGGGGAATTAGAGGTTGCGTGCTAAATTTAGGTAGGTGAGTCTTTGAGAGAGGGCGGATTTCCTTCCGTTAGGCGTTGATGGTTGTCTCTTGAAGTCGCTTTCCGGTGTGAATACAGCTTTTACCCAGGCTGAGGCTGGAATGCTTAGACTTGATTCCGTCTCCCCCGTGCCTTTTGATTGGTCTCCAGAGACTTCCAAGCATTTAGCCACAGATGTCTCGTTTCTCCAGGTTGCTAAAGTGCCAAAATGTTGAGGTCAGTGATAGTGGCAAGGTGTGCTTTGGTAGCTCCACCTCTAATCCCAGTTTATCAGGCCGGACCAGTCCAAAAACGTCACCGGGCCCAGTTTATCAAAAATCAGACTGTCTGTCACTCTCTCATTAAAAACTTGCGGTCAGGACTCAGGAGGCAGCGGTGTGTTTTTGATCACTTCAACTTTCAACCTCAAGCTCACTCACCCCTTTGCCTCATAATTCGCTCTCGCCATCTCATCAATCACATCCTGAATTATTCGCGCGTACCCATTATCTACTTTTAATCCTAAGATGCCTCACAGCACGGAGAGCCTCAAGCTCACCAGCAACAACCTGTCCTCAATCTCCTCTCAGGAAGGCAAGCAGACCGTAAAGGTCCCCACGTACGACCGCACCGTCGTCAAGGAGGGCATCGTCCACGTCGGAGTCGGCGGCTTCCACAGAGCTCACTTGGCTGTCTACATCGACCGCCTCCTCCAGAAGCACGATGAGCGCGACTGGGCCATTTGCGGCGTCGGCCTCCGGCCCAACGACGCCGCCATGCGCGACGTCCTGAGCGCCCAGGACCACCTCTACACACTCATCGAGCGCTCCGCAAAGGGCAGCAACGCCAGCGTCATTGGCAGCATCAACTCGTTCCTCTTCGCGCCCGACGACCGCGAGGCCGTTATCGCCAAGATGGCCCACCCAGACACCAAGATTGTGTCCCTGACCATCACTGAGAGCGGCTACTACTACAACGAGAACACGCACCAGCTGCAATCGGAGCACCCCGACATCCAGCACGACCTGGCCAACGAGGACCAGCCCATCAGCATCTTTGGCTTCCTCTACGCCGCGCTGGCTAGGCGTCACGCCAACGGCCAGAAGCCCTTCACCGTCCTCTCCTGCGACAACATGCAGAAGAACGGCTCTATCACCCGCTCCATGCTCGAGTCCTTCGCCCGCCTCAAGAACCCAGAGATCGCCGCGTGGATCGCCGAGAAGGGCGGCTTCCCTAACGCCATGGTCGACCGCATCACCCCCAGTACCTCCCAGAACGACATCAAGTCGCTCGCAGAGGTCTTTGGCATCGAGGACGGCTGGCCCGTCGTCACCGAGCCCTTTATGCAGTGGGTCGTCGAGGACAAGTTCTGCGACGGCCGCCCGCCCTTTGAGAAGGTCGGCGTCCAGATCGTCGAGGGCGTCCACGAGGTCGAGCAGTTCGAGAAGCACAAGCTCCGCCTCCTCAACGCCTCGCACTCCGCCATGGCCTACCCCGGCCAGCTCGCCGGCTTCAAGTACGTCCACGAGGTCATGGAGCACCCCATCTACCGCAAGTTCGTCTGGCAGATGATGCAGGAGGAAGTCAAGCCCCTGCTTCCCGAGATCCCCGGCGTCGACATTGACGAGTACTGCAACACCCTCATGGAGCGCTTCTCCAACCCCACCATCATGGATCAGATCCCCCGCGTCGCCCTCGGCGCCTCGGGCAAGATCCCACAGTTCATCATGCCCTCCATTGCCGAGCAGATCTGGACCACGGGCCCCTTCCGCCGCCTGTGCTTCGTCGCCGGCGCCTGGTTCCGCTACATCAACGGTGTCGACGACGAGGGCAAGACCTTCACTGTCGACGACCCGATGCGCGAGGAGCTCCAGGCCTTGGCAAAGGCCGGCGGCAACGACCCGCGCCAGCTGCTCAGCGTCAAGATTCTCTTCGGTGACGACTTGCGCGGCGACCAGCGCTTCATTGATGAGGTCACCAAGGCCATGGAGCTCATCGCCAAGGATGGCGTGATGGCCACCATTCCCAAGTATGTTGATTAAAGCGAATCAATACTGGGAAGTGTAAAAGTGTTTGTCGACTTGTGCTGGTACAAGCAGCCTTTTATGTTATAATGAGTAAAGCAGGGATAAAAATGGGTACTTGAAGCGGTCATGAGAATTTATAGATATAGATATAGATATTTATAGAGACATTTTGTGTTTTGATTTTGTACAAAACGAGGCCATCCCGTGCGTTTGATGTCAGTTGCAAAAGAATTTGACTATGACGAATACGAAAGGTGGAGGTGCAGTGCGCAAACGACCAGGAGAGGGATCCAATGCTTTTCAATTGCCAACATGTCTCCCACCAGCCTCAGATATTCTTAGAGCTCTTTGATGCATCGAACAAACCACTTGCCTCCCTCACCTACCTGGCAGACTTTTGTTATTTCTATTGACACCTCTTTTTGGACTCGACAAAGCAAGGCAAGGGAGTAAAATTTTCGAGAGGGAGCGGGCAACCCCTTCACTCGATGTTCAGAAAAATGAGATCATGGAACAAGACAAAGGGAAAGCTTCTTCCTATAACGTCAACAATCTGTACTGCAGGCTGTTTTCGTTGACTTAGCTCTTTGTTGGCTCGAGCTGTGCGATGGCCTCAATCCGTCCCAAGGGCTTTCTCGACTGGCTTTAGAAATTTGAAGACGGTAAGGGTGCTATCCAATAGCTACAAATAGGCCTCTACTACCAGTGATCTGGACCTTTTCTTTTTCTGGTCATCGACTCATCAACACTCAGAAAGTCCATCAAGTCCGCCTTTGCCTCAAGATCTATTCATATTACAGCTTCGGCACAGCTTTCAGAGTCGTCCGTCTGCGATTGAAGCAACTTGCAAAGTCTTTTTCCACGACCCTCGCCAGTAAGTCACTGAATTCTTCCATGGTGCCACTCATGTTCAGCCTCCATCTCAAGTTGCTAAGTACTAACGAATTCCAGTCTTCAGATGACCGATCAACTTCCCATCATGGAAATCAAGTAGAATCTCACTGTGGGGGAGAGAGTGAGTTACTACTTACATCCGATTCTACCTTTACTCTGCTGACCTGAGGAATCCTGGAAAGACTGGGAGACTCGCCTCCGCCGGTGCCGACTTGAGTATCTTGGAGGAGGCGCAGAAGACCGTGACCCCCGAGAAAGCCGAGCAGGTCGCCGACGATCTCAGCACGGAGGAGCAAAAGGAGAAGGTATTTAAGGGTATCCATTGTATAGCAGCTGCCGATACCTCTTCGTTTGTCTTTAAGACCTTGGTCCAGCGCTTATACCCAAATAAACAAATCAAATATAAAGTTTATATTTAATTATTTAGCTAATTTCCCGCGCTATATTTAATTATTTAACTTATTTAATAAATAATTAATTAATTTAATTAATTTCTTAATTAAGAATTAAATAAAGCTATTATAAAAGTTCTTATAATACTAACTTATAAACTTTACTTTAATTAGCTTTTTTAATTAAAAAATTAATTTTTTATTTTTATAATACTATTATAAAGCTAGTTCTTAAAATATTAGACCTTTTTTAATATAGAGGATTTTATTATTAATAATTATTATAAAATTAAAGTTAATTTTATAAAGCTAAATATCCTCTCGTAGTTTATTATTATTATAAAGATCGTAAAAATATTAAGTATAAGCTTACTTAACGTTAAATAAGTTAACTAATAATTAATTTATTATTAAATTAGGTTAAGGACTAGCTAAGAAATAATTTATAAATAATATTAATTAAGCTTAAATGCGTAGTTAATTACTATTTTTATTATTTAAAATATTAATTATTATTAGTATTATAAGTTTTTTATAATACTTTTTAAAATCGTAAGGGTAATAAAAGTAGTTTATAACTATTATAATAAAAGAGAAGGATTTAAATAATAAAGAAAAAAAAGACTTATTATCTCGTTTATATATTATTTTTATTAATAATTATAAAATCTTTTTTTTATATTAAATAATTAGTAACTCTACTCGGGCATATTTTTTTTTTAATTATTTTAATCTTTATTTAGAATAAAAAATTATTATTATAATATAGAGTAGAGAGTTATTTAACTTAATATATTACTTATTAAGGACTTACTAAGTATTAATAACTAATAATTAAAAATATTTTTATAAGTTAAAATTATTATTAAAAAGTAGCTCTACCCGCTTCCTAAATATATATTTAAATTAAATATAATAAGGGATATTATTTAAAATTAGAGGTTAAAAAAGAGGTTAAAATATAAATTAATAACGAGCTAATTACTAACGAAGTAATATTATTTATATTAATTATAATTATAATATTATAATTTAAAAAGCCGTAAAATCTATTTTTTTTTAAAAAGTTTATTATATAACTTCTTTTATTTTTTAAAATAATTAATAAAATACTTAAAACTTATTATTATTTTTTATAAATAGCTATAATTATCTTTTTTATCCTAGCCTTAGTATTTTATTATTTAAAAATAAAGTAGCTTAAGTACTATTTTTAGCTTAGTTAGTAATTATTAATTATTATTATTAAAAACGTCCTTAATAAGGATTTATTATTTTAAATTTTTATAAGCTCGACTAGTTATTAAAAAAGTATAAATCTACTTTTTTTTTTATAAAAAGCGCTATATTATAAAGTATATTGAATTTTATTTTATATTATTATTAAGCGTTAGTATAAGCTTTTGCGACAATTCCTCGAAGAGAGTAAATATATTATTCTTGTTAATTTTATTATTAACTTTAAAGAAGGCCTTATGTAGTAGTTTTTTTCTGGCTTTATAAGCGTAAAAGATCGACTTTAACGGGATTATATTTTTAAAAGAAATTATATAATATAGTATACTTTTTAATTATATAATATGCATAATATACCCTAAGTACGCGCTTAACGTAATATAATAATTTTAATACGAAAACCGCTATATAATTCGGGATAAGTAAGCTACCCTATTACTTATTAATAATAGGCTAAGTAATATACTTATATAGCGGCGCTAGCTAAAAAGGTCGATAGTAGAGGTCGGCTATAAAGGTCAGAAGTAGCCCTTAACCACAGAGGTTCTAAACTTTAATAGCAACGTAGAGGTTTTTAAAAAAAGGGCTAAAAGGGCTAATATCTAGCTACTTAGAGCTTATAAAAATTCTTTCTATCCTTATTACTTCTAATATTACCTAAAGCTCTATTTAAACTAAATAAATTTACTAAATAAACTTATTAAACGAACCTATTAATATATAAACTATTACTTTACTAAAAATGCCCCTCGATAGGTCCCCCCCTCTAGGGCTCGATAAATTAGGCCCCCTCGACGCCCTAGCTATCGTAGCTAACGTAAGTACGCCTAAAGAGTAGCATAGTACTTTTTAATAATATAGAATTTAGCTAAGTAATAGTATAAACGTCGTAAATAGCCGGGCTAATACGGATATTAAGATCTAGTATATTAACGCTAGCTTAGAAATTATGCTTTATAGAGCTAGAAATTCCTTTAATACGGGTTATATTATAAACGTAAGGGAATATATAAGGGGCCCCCTAACCCTTAATAAAAAGGAGTATATAATACGGGATCTAGCCGCCCACGCGGGCTAGTACTAAGAGGTCTTATATGCGTTAGAGTAAGTATAGCTCGCTCTCTAAATAGTTAGAACTTAGAGGACTATAACAAAAAGTCGGGAGCTATTTTGATTAGTACTTAGGTATAGAGCGTAATATACCTAGTTTTCCCTAATACGTAATATATAGTACGGCCCCGGCGGATTGCTTTATCAGGGGGAAAGAAGGCCTTATATTATTAAAATAATAAGTAAATAAATTTAATAACGTTCCGAAGCTTATTAATAGGGCCCTTTATATACTAAAAATTAAGATCTTTTTAAAATTACTTAGTATTAATTAATATATTTAATTCTTATTTAAATACTTTTTTATTATTACTAAATAAAAAGGCCCTACTAACGAGGTTAAGAATATAATTATAATACCTAATTTTCTAATTAAAAATATTTTCCTAAGTATAGGTATAAAATAATATAAGATATAAGTAACTTAAGTAAGTATTATTATTTAAAGTATTATTATAAATAACTACTCCGATTTAGTTACTTAATTCTTAGTTATTTATTACTAATTTTATAATCTAAATAATATTAGCCCTATTATAAATATTATATTATTATTATAAAATAATAAGCTATTATATTTATTACTTAGTATAGTTTAAAAAGTAAATAAAAACGGTAATAATAGTATTCTACGTTAGTAAGGTTTATAAATTAAATAATAAGTAGACTTTTATTATTAACCTCCGGATTTTTACCCTAATTATATATTTTTTTTTAATAAAAATCTTACTTAGCTCTTTTTTTATATTTTTATATAATAATAAGAGTTCGTTAGTAATATTATAATTTAACTAATAAAAGAAGGCTTAGAAATAAAGATTTTAAAAAGTTATAAATAGGCTATTATTATTAATAATATACTTAATTATTAATTCCTTAATTCTCATTACTTAGCCTTTTATAATAATATTAAAAATAAATTTCCGTTTTTTTAATATAGAGTTATACTCTAAGGATTTTAATAAATATAATAACTCGCTAAAGCTTAAATTTATTACTTAGTATTTTAATTTTAAGTAAGTCGTCGCTAAGCTCATAATTATTATTTTAAAATAAATAATAATATTTATTTTATTATAATAATAATAAAACTAAAAAACTTCGTTTTAACTATTTTTATTATAAATTTTTTAAGCAAAGACCCTTTTTAAAAAATTTATAACTTCTTTAGCCTTATACCTTTTTATAATATTAAATTATTATTAATAAAAGTCTTCTTTTTTTTTAAATTATTTTTAAAAAAGTAAAGAGGTTATTATAATTATTAAAGTTAGTTAATAATATAAAATTAGCGTTAATTAAGGTTTATAGTTATAAAATAATTTAAAATAGTTATTACGTACTAAAAATCGTATAATTTATTACTAATTAATTAATTATAATATAATAAATTAATTAATATATAATTTAATTAATTTTAATAATAATTATAGTAGTTATAAAAGGTTAAAAATAGTAATACGTAACTTTATTAGTTTTATAAATATTAAAAAAAGGGGGTACTATAGGTTTTTTAGATTTTCAAATATAGTAAGATACTAAATCTAGCGCTCTATACTATTTAGGCTTTTTTTTTATAATAATTATTAGTAATTTATTTAGTTAAGTAGTATAATACCGAACTTATAATTATAAATAAGGAGTCGTAAGTTCGAATTTTATTATAAATATTTATATTCTTAATTATAAATTTTTAAGGGTATAGTTAAGAATATTAATTTTTAATTAACCCGGCCCCGGATTTTCTTTTTTTTTAAATAATTTTATATTTAATTAAATACGTTAAATATAGGGCTTTACGATATTTAATTATTTAACTTCTAAAAATTCCTATATTTAACTATTTATTTAACTTATTTATTTAATTAATTTAAATAGGTATGTGCGCTACCTTAGTCGACATATACCTGATGTCTTACAAGCTTAATAAGGACTAGAAAAAGGCGATTGAAAGTCTAGTTAGCGAGGTTAAGGAGTTGCGTGGGCAGTTAGAGAGGCAGCGCATCAGGGTATAGCGCGCGGAGCGATTGGTCACCCGAACTAAAATCAGGGAGGATTCTTATGGGTACTAGAGGTCACTATTCTCTCTACCTTGGGGTACATGTACTTTTCAAGTGAAGAGTTGAAGTCATGATTCACCTCGGTACGTACCTGTGGTAATTGACACAATGCCCCATCCCGGGATCCAAGGCTAGTTCGACTCGTATCATGCAACAAACGTACTTCCAAAACATTCCCCGAAATCGAAATCGAAAACTTCTTTGAGTGCTGACATCTGAGTGACAAGTCTACAATCCCTGTCCTTAGGTACGCCGGCACCTTACTGTAACGCAAGTTTAGGTCCCCGGACCATAGTCCCGGACCCGGCATTTTCACATCTGAGTTGCCTCGCTTGATTACCAGTCGTTCGTTCCTCGCGAGTTTTAGCTACGCCATGGCTGCTCCTGCGGCGGCGTTCCTCGCAAGTACCGATCTGTCGTCCAGCTTCCCTCTCTGACCACAGTTGCGCCTGGGTCACGATCATGAGGCTTGCTCCTTACGCTTTACCAAAATTTCAAAGGTGCCTTTATCGTTGTTACCAACTATCATCCGGCGGTCAAATATCTTAGATACGCAGGAGTCACCAAGAAAACAAAACACCAGGTTGGAAGATAGCCGACGACCCACCTGATAACCAACGAAGATAGCGTCAACGAATAGGGCGAGAAGCAAACAACCCACAAAAGTCAGCGCCGCCGCTTGATTTTGCTTCGTGAAACCAAGTAATGCCAAGACCTGTCTTTGGGAAATTCTCCATGGATCATAGACCTTTGAGCATCGTTTACCACATATACTGATCTGAGAGAGGCGAATAAGAAGCTTCCACCATATCCTGGCAAGGTGGTGTACAGGCTTAGCACCGCTCCTCGTTGATGCTCAAGACTATGTTCAGATTTCTCCACCCGACTTTCCGGCTTTCTGTCCGCCATCAAAGTAGTAGCTACTAGCCCAAGGGAATATGCTTTCCCATGAAGTGCTCAAAATGCTATATCTCGAGTGCTGGCCTTTGAGCTCGATGTTGTTTTCTATCTGCTCGTCGACTTGTCAACCTTTTGGCACAGTATTCCCCTTGCGCTCAAATCCCCTGAGACAACATCTTCAGAGCCCTTCTATCCAGCCTTTTCTAGAAAAGGTTTTGACCGTTCTCAACTAGAGAGTCTACAGTCTTGTCGTTGTCCTTCAACTTCCAAAAACCTAATCGGCCATCCATCTCCAAAGCTAACGTTCCACGTCTCTACCATAGTGGCGTCGAAACCTCTGGGCATGGAATAGCCGTAAGTAGTCTTCATTGGCTCGCACACCTTCCATCAGTTCGTGCAACCTCGACCGAAAATCTTACAGTCAGCTGGGTTTGACTTACGAGTGCCACCCGAGAAAGTATCATCAAGGCGCGCCAGGAATACCGCGTACGTGCAGACGCTGCTTTGACATTGAAGTGTCTCACAGGTGTATTAGACCTTGACTAATGATCACAAAGTCATCTATCCACACGATGAAACCGCCACATCTAGCCGACATAGGGTACCTATCCTTGAAGCCGAGAGGAAGTGCGCAGTCTAAGAGAAAATATCCTTGGAGCAAACATGGCCTGAACTAACAAAACCCACCAAGTTTGATGTTTTCAACTTGCTGCGATCATTTGGCTGGAATTAATCAATTGTTGAAAGCTACAAAGAGTGGCGTCATCCACATGAAGCGATCATCGCGAGTAACACATAGTTGAGCTAGAAAAGTGTGGAGGTGATCACGGATATCGTCGGTCATTTCACATTGAGGAATACTGTGGGCGCACATTGCCACTGCTGTGGCGCTCAATCCCTTCCTATGTTTAGCATTATCCACATGTTCGAGCTCGTGCGGCAGCTGGACCACGACTTTCACAACGAGCTACAAGAGACTCGCGCGTTGCTTAAGACCGAGGTGACCGGCGCTGAGTTTATGAACCAGGAAGATAGTGATTAAGGGAATGGCCATTGCCTTGTTGTTCCTCGCTGATGCGGCTTTCAGGTCTTGCATACTGGTTGACTCTAGGCACCTCAGACGAAGTACACATTTGGTTTTGCAGTCGGATTAGGAATGATGATTGATGAGTGAGCATCATTATCGATAGCACCACAACCGAGGAATGTATTCTATTGTTCCTTATTGAGCCAGTAACACCAATCAGTCCTACCACCGCAAATCTTGTTCGACCTCATACCTCGCAACGCCTCGTAACTTGGTGCAATTAGAACCTGCAGTGGAACCTCATATCACGTTTAAGAAGGGAGTTCAGGAGGCGGGGACAGCCCGGACTACCTAGCAGTCTCGGATGTGGCAGCTCCACAGCCGCCGAACCATGTGGGCACTGGTCGTTCCTTCCCGGCCGAAATTCAACTTCACCTGCTCCTGCCCACCTACCATGTCCATCTCTCTAGCTGGGTATTTGCCTGGATATCTCTCATTGTGTGATCCCGTCACCTGATTCGATACGTACTTGGTCCAGAAAATTCAGTGAGTCTCGAAATTGTATTTTCTCGAGCCCAGAGCCAATAATGCCCTCTTTTCGCCCCACCCACCGCGATCACTTTGTTGATGCCCCAGCGTCAGTTGAACTGCCCTTTTGATATTCCATTCAGAAAAAACAGCATCAAGTCAGCAGAATGGTTGGCCACATGGCCTTGTACGTGTGATTTCACAAAGCAGCCTTTGTGCCTGTTTCCTCATATCCCTTCAAATATCTCCCTGCTGCAAACACCACAGATAAGCCTCGACGCAATGTTCCACATCAGAATGGCCACCGCCTTTGAAGCTCCTCAACCACCTCTCAGACGCATTCTGTCATTGTCCAAAGGAACACAGTCAAGGCCGTCAGGGTCCACCGGCTGAGTAGCTTGATGCAGACCGCTGACGCACCAATTCAGACTCATCATCACTTTGAGCAGGTCCAACTCGAATCCCGTCACACCCTCTTTGAGATGTAAGTCTTGCATAAGTGACAACTTAAAAGAAATCTAGGTTTTGTTAGTAAAAATACTTGTGGGCTGTTATGGAGGTGCTCGAACTAGGTCTGAAATCTGCACCCCTTGCTGAGCAGCCTGCCTATTGTTGGCGTTAACGGCATCTCTCATGCGACCGAGTAGTTGTTCAGCTTCATCTTCCACCTTCTTAAAGGTTTCTTATTCCTGATAGCTCGTGGTCGACTTGGTTTCGATGGCTGAGCGGACGCCCTCGAGCCTTTCGGAGATCGTACTGAACTGAGATTGAATGGCAAAAGTCACCTGCATGCGGTCCCAGATCTTTTTCATCTCCTGCGGCGATAACAGTCAGCTTTCCAAGGTTCCTGACCTGAGATGTGTGCTGCGAGGGCCAACTATACCGCTTCTCCTCCCATGATGACCGTCATCTTTCTGCCATTCTCGTCGGTGGCCACTTGTTTCTTGGGCTTGTCCTGTTTGCCGCCCTGATTACCCAACTGCTCAGTGGTCTCTTGGTGGATCTTTCTGGCCTTCGTCCTCTTTCTCTGCTTCTTCCTAGATACGTTCTTCTTTTTGGCCATTGTGAGGGGATTTGGTTGGTCGATATGGGGGCAGATTCGTGTGGTTGGTGAAGGCTACTATCTGTATGGAGAGTACTGGGGATGAAAATTGGCCTGTGTTGAAGATAAAGTCGAGGGTACCGTTTGACAGTATTTGGACAGGTTGGGAAGGCGGAGGGTAAAGAGGGTAAGCTAAAGTGTTGGTTCAGAAAGGTTGCGGGTGGAGGCAGATTCTGTGCAAACGGCCACGCGCCCACGTCGCGCGACGTGTCGTGCCTGCCAGGCACCAACCACAACGTTTGAGTCTTCAAACTCAGATGGGAAGCGACTGAAGGAGACCGTCGAGTTGACCAATTCTGAACGTGGCTCAGAGAGGTATTGTACACGTATCAGTTGGTAATGTAATTCTTGGCAAGCTGGAGGACTTTCTCATGTGGAAGCTACAAATCTCACTTATCTTCGCTCACCAGAACAAGCGCACCACGCCAAATGCCAAACAGCTAGGCAACTTCTACACGAGAAACGTTGACTACCTGGATGATTCCAGTAGGCTGCTGATACCTTAGTTGGGTTATACGCTGGACAACCTTTGGTTAAGGACGTGCCCCTGCTTCCCACCACACTTGCGCCAATCTGGTGTCGGACCCCGGTCCGGCCCGCTGGAAGTGTCTTCCGGTGGTCCCCATTGGCCTGCAAGCCCGCTGCACTGCCTCCTCACCATCTCCCTCTGCCAACCACATTCGTCCGGTGACATTCCCAGACCTGTGGCGTTTTTGACCGTTGATTGCGGCTTAAAAGTACTTTGACAACGCGCCTTTCCAAATAGTACATACCGAAGAGCATTGCCTTTGGCTTCGTCTTTATGGATAGTAATCTTGCTTACGCCCAAATAGAGTGGATGTGTAAGATGGAGGCACCACCTCGGAAGTGCCGTAGACTCTTTGTAGACAAGCAAGACAACATGAACTCAGGTGCCCTCGGTTTGGAACTGGGCCGGGCTCCAACGAAGCACCCTTAATGAGGGCTTTCGTCGGTCGATGAAGTTTGGTAGGAAAGTTGATCTTGTTGCATTTTCTCATCACATTTAGGATATTAGACACGCAGCCGGGAATGCTAGGCTGACTGTAACCTTGGAATTGCCGTCTCTGATTACCCTATCCTTGAATCCCAATACTGAAGCTGGTGATCCACCAGATAGCCCAATCCTTCACCTTCTTAATCCCAAAGACTAAAGACTTTGGTCTTGAAAGCACATCTAGACTTTGCCAAGAGTGCATGACCGACCGTAAGCTAGGGGGATCTCACATATGGTACACATAAGTTGTGTTCGGGTGGGTACGCGTCTCAAAGGCCTCAAGCTCCTCCTGGATAACATCACGGGCCAGACCCTCCATGTTCTCTCCAAAGTCCTCCTCGATCTCGGCCTTCACATCCTTGTGCAGATCGGTCTTCATATCGTCCTTGACCTTGGTAACCTCGGCAGCAACGGTAACGGGGACCAACGCCTCGATCTGAGAAAGCATCCACTGAGAGTCATCGCCGGTCTTCTTCTTGATGGCATCATCCATCTGCTTGGAAAGCTGGTTCTTGAAGTAGAAGTCGAGAGCGTCCTGCAAGTTGGCCACGACACACTCTTGAATGATGGGAACAGCACCTCGGATGGCAGGGAGCATGTGCTCCTCAGTCTTGGCCGCAAGAGTGGTGCCGATGGCTCGCTGGGCGTCGTGCACAATCTTGAAGACATCGTTCTTGACCTCTCCCTTCATGGTGCCTTTGAGCTGGTCCAGGGCATCTTGCGTGAGAGCGACCTTGACTCTGTTGAAGACCTCTTCTTTGATCTCATTCTTCAGCTCATTGTTGACTTCGCTCTGGATCTCCTTAAGCTCGGCAATGACACTGCCCTTCACGTCTTCCATGATGTCGTACTTTAGCTGGCTAACCATCTCAAGTCTCATCTCGCGCTTGACGTCCTGCTTGACCTTGAACGTGATGTCGCGCTTGAGGATACGCTTGAGCTCCTCTCTGAGCTCATAGTAGAGGCGGCCCTTGATGTCGCCGGTGAGCTCCTGAGCGAGCTCCTGGATGAGACGCTCTTCGATTGAGCGCTTGAATTCTCTGTCAACTCTTGCCTGAAGCTCCTTCTTGAGCTCGTTCTTGAGTTCATGCATGATGTGAGCCATGAAAGCAGCGGTGTTGTCGCTGGGGAGCACCTGATCAAAGACAGGCGTCTCCTTTGACGGGCTGACGGAACGATGGAACAAGGGAGAGTTGCGATTGACAGAGGTGTCCCCAAGGGAAGAGATGTCGGACAGAATTGAACGCTCAGACTTGATGCCCTTCGAGCCAGACAAGGCGTCCTTGGACGCTCTATGGATATGTCCCCAGCAGCAATCGTCGACGGTGTCCTTGGTAGGGCTGACGTTATTGGTGCCCTCGATATTGTTGGTATATTCAGTCGTCATAGCGCTGCCGGTGCAGCCAGAAGCGGCGGGGCGGTGAACGTGGTGCTCGTTTGCCATGAGCTCAATCGGCTCACGATTCAAGGCCTGGATGATGTGCTTCTTGTTGTCGGCCTCCATGTTAATGTGCTGCTGCTTCTCATTCTCAAAGGCTTCCTGAGCCGCAGCAATCTTTTTGTTGGTTTCGTCGAGACTAGCATTCAAGGCGGCTCTCTCCATCATGAGCTCCTACAGATCCATGGTCAGTATTGTAATCATCGGCGCTCATCAATCACATCGTAGATTCATCACTGTCAAAAAAACCAGCGTGAGAACTCACCTCGATGAGGTCGATAGATTTGACCGTCTCAGGAATGAGATGCATCTTGGCGAACTGGTACACCTGCAGTGATCAGCAAAATGAATCAAAATTAGTGCGCAAAGAAATTCCTACTTTTGGTACGCGTTATCTTGTGATACTTGTTGAACTTTTGTTTTGGGGGATGCTTGAATGTGAAGATCGCAAGGTAAAATGTATTACTGTGCGAAGTGCGAGCGGAAGCGTGTGTATGAGAGGGGAAGAGTGAGGCAATGTGCGGGTGAGAGAAAATAGAGGATGCGGCTGGTAGAACGCGAGATTGTTTTGATAGCGCATTGGGGGGCCGTCTCATAGATTCCTGAGTGGGAAGGCGCGATTGAGGGAGGAGCTAGGCTTGGAGGTTGAGGCAGGTGCCAGCCATCAAACCCAGACTCACCTCACCTTCACCGTTATCCTCACCTTGGCCTTAGGTGAGAAGCATTCCATGCACTCCGGCTTACAGACAAGATGCCTGGGGTATTTCTCTCTGTCTAGCTACCGGACGAAGAAAGGAAATTGTCAACTGCCATTAATGGAAGACAGAACGGGGCGGCTTCTTATCGAGCTCTCAACAGCATTAATCCGGGTTGTAGCAAAGTCTCTGTACGCCGTGTTGCCTGTATGAACCACCCACTTGATGAGAAAGATTCACCGAACTCAACCTTGGCCGGATATAAATACAAATGACGAATGGCGTGTCATCCTAATGGTCCCATAGACCCTTTCCTCGTCCGGGAAGCCATGAAACTTTTGCTGTTCCTCATCGCCTTGAGCCCTCAACCAACATCTTATATCTTCAAGCATGCTGCCTACTGTTGTATCTCTCATTCAGATCGGGTATGAAGACCTTTCCGCTCCCCCCCTGGTGTCGAGTCTTATTTCGTCTTGGGTCATCCTTGTTGCGGTCCAAAGATTCCTTCATCCAGCTTCTGGCCTTACATCTGAAATTTTTCGAACAACTACCTCTGTCTGTCTCGGAGAGACGATTCCCCGGTCCCGTTGTTGAGTAATGGTAGTTTGCGGGTGTCGGAGTGATTTGCAATCGGTACATGGAAGTGAGATCTCGCTTCCGAAGTTGGGCTCATTCATAGAACCACCCGTATAATCTGCCTTGAAGCCGCTTCTGATGTGTTATCTTTATTCGGCTGAATCTTGTTTCCCTTTCTTGGCATACAATTTCCGCAGTAATCCATCTTCGGGATCCTCGGGATCCTCGGGGTCTTCATACTTGCGCTGTCGCTTGAGTCCAGTTGCGACTTATATTTGCTTTTAAAAGCAGAGATAGTGTCTGTAGTGAAGGCAATATTCTCTTGCGCCTCCTTTGTTCACAATCACCCTCATGAGTCTCACGTATCATTTGTCGCCCACGGTCAGTATTAGAGATCTCAGCTTGCAGCCGGCGGTGGTCGCCATTTTGAGCACGATTCCTGCCGTCAATGAGCTCCCCTAAGTTAGAATCTTTTGACATCTATCTTGCAAGCTCCGTTTTATTCAAGCAAGCTTTTTAGAGTGCCTATAAGACCAGAACCACAGCCATAATGCGAAAGGATTTCTGCAATGGTCCTCCTCATAACAGCGAGAAATTTGACGGACAGGGGTGGTTTGTAGGGGGCCACCTGCACATTGAACGTCACATCGACAGTGGTTTGAGCCCTTATTTACCTCCCGTGAGTCCCGTCCTTGCTTCACAAATGACAGTCCCGATCATTAGGAGCCTGGACCGTTTTGGCCGCCGAGAATAACTCCAGCGCTTCGAGTCAATGAGTTTTGGACTCTCCCGCGCGCGCAGTTTCGCTGACGTGAACTTAAAGTTTAGGGCTTTATTCATGCTCGGATTGAAAGCGCTCTTTTGACGTCTCATAATTAGCGAGAACGAGGACGCAACCAAAGGAGAGACTTGGCTTGAGTAGTCATCCTGGCAGATTGCCCCCTATAGAAAACAGAGTGCCCTAACCGGGCCCACCAACTTACTTGCTGGTCCGGGTACTTGAACCATTTGAATTGAAGGACCTGACTCAGCGGGAAGGAGAAGCTTAAGAGCGCGGTCAGGGCGTCTCTGACTTAGGTTGCTGCCAAGAACATGGGGGCTGAACTTATGTAGGGGGGGAGGTCCAACCGTCCAAAGAGCCTGGACCTGATTAGCATCGGAAAGGGACGAAACACTTAATCAAAAACCAACAGTGAGGGCCAACTTTTACTCCTGAATTACACTCATTCTGACGGAAACAGCTCGGTGGCCTTCCCATGTGCTCACCCTGTCGCCATGCTTTCCCATCCTCGACGCTAATATGAACATAGCCGCAGAGTTTTGCGTCGCCCGAGCCCGACATTGCACGTATCGGAGTGCTCTCTATAGGCGCAGAGGATTCTAATCAGGGCGTACGCGCAGATGAACTCCCCGAAACACCAGTGTTGATCCCGTTGTCGTGTTCGTACTCTTCAATCCACACAATGACTCGTGCGAGAACAGACTCAACGCCCCTGAGCAATGTTGAATAACCCGTCCCAAGCTCATCAACCGCTTCGATTGTTGGAGCTTGAGATTCCCCTTCGCGCCGTAGTCGAGTGAAGTTAAGCACCTGTAAGACCCGGTTGTACAAGGTCATGAGTTCTTCCTTCTTCTTCAGGAGCAACTGGTAGTCTTCCGCAGTCTTGGGTTGTTCCTCAACTTCGCGAGTGTCCAGATGTTCAAGCGCGACTGACACAATTTTTGTCACGGCCGCGATGTCTTGTGCGTTCATGCCCTCAGATGTGGGGGTGCTCGTTGGCGGGTTATCGTTGCCCTGATGGTACGTCAACGGTTTTGCTGGCCTTTTTGGCAACCAACTTGCCCTGGGCCGATTGGAAGGAGACGTACGTCGACTGAGCCGGCCATCATCAAATGTTTGGTGTTCGACTATTTGTACGACATGAGTGCATGAGCTTGCTTGGTTCGCGAAGCGCGAAGCGGGAAGCCGAGGATTCAATGTGTCTGATCGGTTGCAGTCGGATTATTGTGAGATTAAGGCAGCGTTAGAGATGTTGGAAGTAGGAAGATGGGGACCTGTGGGAAGATAAGGTAAGCGACTTTGTCAACAGATAGGGAGAGTGAGATCAACGACCAGGTAGGTAACAACCGTGGGAAATCCGAAGCGCTCAGCAAGGAAAGTGCTCTTTGACGCCCTTTTCTTATGTTGGAACCATGTTACTGACCCATGCTCTTTCCGCTGGGCAGATTCTACCAACTCCAAGACATGTCAAATCTGCAAAAGGGCAGAGTCTTTCATTCAAAGTACAACGGCGGTAAGGCTGAAGTACTCCTCAGGCCTGAGCATGAATGAAGGAAGGCAATTCTGTCAGGGATCTGACTCAGCTGTCACCAGGTTGACCCAGGTTGCCTCCCGCCAGACCAACTGCTTAATTACAAGCCATGTCCCATACTAGTGTCACATATAGCATCGTCCTGTGGTTCTGTTGGTATTTCATCGCATTTATCCTCGCGGGTTCATCTCGAGCCACGCGTGCTAAAACTCAGTCACCTCCTATCGTCGATTCGTTGCTGGGCTCTTCCGGCCAAGTGTCCCATTCAGAACTCCGGTCCGCCACAGCCAGAACGCGAGGCCAAAGAGATTCACTCAGAGCATGCTCAACAACAAATTGACGCGCGTCATATTCTCGATCAGGGCAATTTGAACACGGTCGAAAGCGGCCTGGAGTGTCTCTCCCATATTACCGCCCCGGATGACTTCCATCTCAATCTTGAGTACTGCCTTTCGCTGGGCCTTGTAAACCGCTAGTCTTCTCGTGTACTTGACGCGCTTGCGGCGACGCCATCTCTTAGTAAGGTAGGCATCAATGTCGAGGTCGATCATACAGTCTCGGACCTCGTCATGAGCTGCGACGAGAGCCTGAAAGCACGAGACGATTAGCATGGCAGTCATGATCAATTGGGGGCCTTCAAGAGCGAACGTTGCTTACGTCGAGGAAGAGCTGCAATTGCCAGAGGACTACGGGGCTCTGGTTCTTCTACAACAACAACTCCACTTCTGGCTTGTACGCGAGAGGAGGCTTCTCGGTCTCTTCAGAGGTGCCGCCTCTCTTGGATCCGTCTTCCAAGACTCCGTCTTCGACAGTTGCCTAGCGAGTAAATAGTCGATTAGCAAAATTTCCGAGGCATCTGGTGAGACCTGAGCTTACGCTGTGGGACGTCGCCATGGTTGTGGTTTGGTAAGTAGCCGTCAGTGTTGTTTTGATTGGAAACTTCTCGAGGGTGAAGGGATGCTTCTCGGCCGAAGAAGAATTATGCAGAGAAAGGGTTTCTCTACCTTGTCGATTAAGAAGATTATCCCACAGGCACCGTGGGCTCTAATGATGCCGCTGCCTCCCGCCGATGGAACAAGGGGAGGCACGCCATCCGGGAGCCTCAGGTGACGAGCGCACCCGGAGATTCCATGTGTCCCATTCAGGCTATTTGTTGAGAGTTTGTAAGACTCATAATTCACAAACCATCTTGTGTGCGGGGGCCGTAGGCCACTTGTTTGAGGTGGGTGACGAGGCTCGAAACGGTCGGTCGACTTCTTTGCCCTTTCTGGTGGAAGATTCGCTGTCGTCACATCCAAGCTAGGAGGTGTCGACGGGAAGAAAAGAGTCAGAGAGATCGAAAGTTCCGGTCTGGAGAGCCTGCCTCCAGCCGGTATCAACAGAGTGAAAAATCCCGTGAACTCAAAAACTAGATGATTCGCGCGTTTATTCTGATAAGGAGACCTGACAATTACTTAGAGCATATTCTTATGTAGCACTGAACTGCTTAGAGCATTCTTCTTTAGAGCACTTAATTGCTCCGATCAAATTCCTTTGTAGCACTTCATCGCTTTATTGGGATTGTGCCGTCCGAGGTAGATCGTCTGGTGTATGAGACGAGGAAGTCAAAGTTGCGGCGATTGTTCACCAGGTTGAGACGTTGATGGAGGAGGAAGGTAGCTAGGACAATGTGACGGATCAACTTCCGTCCCATCTGAGCTGCCTTACAGAAAGGGAAGGAAGCTTCCTTTGTTGAGTGCCTCAGGCGGTGAGCCAGTGAGTATTCACCTCGACACTTATCTGTAACAACATAAAGGCAATAGTCATATTGTAGGACAAAGGAGCTCATGGTGCTGTTGTTTGACTTGTTTTTTTGACTGTAATCACGCGCCAGCAGACCTGATTTGTCTAGACTTACTTACAGAGCACACTTCCAAGTATCAGGATCTTTGTAGTCGCCAACGCCTTGGTACACGTTGTGATATGGCCACCTGCAATGTCTACGTTTGAAATCAACACCACTGTCACTGGTGCCTTTCTTGTACCATGTCCCCATGATGGTGTCTGGAGCCACTTGGCTCTCGACCCATCGAACCATCGCCATCAGCACGTTTTCCTCCGGTGCCAGACTGGTAGTGCTTGCTGACTGGTGGCCGATAAAGGTCGCCCCATTACCGCTGCCGCAATGGGACATGCCAGAGATACGGAAAAATCGGCAGAATTTGTCAAGAGCCTTTGAGTTCATGCCCATGGTTTGCGAGACATATTCGTAATATCGATGGGAATTCTCACTCGACAGAACGCCATCGGCTAAACCGTGCCAGTGGAGAAGCTTGCCACCGCGGTTCTGGAAAGCCGATAAATCACCATCCCAGGTATCGATGTTGAAGTGGTTGAGACCAGAAGCAACGGTGTAGTTCTCCGGACGGAGGGTCATGGCATCTCAGGTGGAGTCGTTGAAAATGGCATAACGATACCAATCCGACACGGGTGAGACTGCCCTGGAGAAGTAACTGTCCACCGCTCCGGTAAACTCGGATCCAAGCTGCATCTTGGGGTAGACCAGGCTTCCGGCTGCATCCAGCACAGGTGAGTAAATGCTCTTGAGCGTCTCAAGTTGTGTACTCATAAGACAGCCAGTGCTTTGAGTTTCAGTGCACAAGAGGCCATCAGGTTTGTAGTTGCAGAGGTTAGGCGACTCCAAGATACCGTCTGCAACCCCAACAAGCTGATCGCACTGGTCAAGAATGTCTTGATGAATGATAGGCCACATATCCAGAGGAGTCAAGTTCGCAGACTCGGGCGTACCAAGAAGGGGATAAAACTGAATAGCCCACGACGTCAAGTTGTTCCACGCAATAGCAGGCGCTCCAACAACGACACCATCGAACAGGTCAGAAAAGGACTGGACTGCCTTCAGCCCTTGTCGTCGGCCAGTTGAGCATCTTAGGTAGTAGCTCCTATCATGGGCCGCTCCGTAAAATTCTTGAGTGATTTCCTTGCCAACAGCAACCCCATTCTGGATGGAGCGGTAGGCAAAGTCCTGAATGACGTCGAGATTGTGGAGAAAGGGGGCTCCAGTGTACCCCTGATGTCCATTATTGGTCGCAATGGTTGCAAAACCGAGAGAGGCACCGTATTCGACGTCGTAGTATTGGATACAGCCGCCTAGTCCGCCGTTGCCTGTCACAAGGAACCTCCCAGACCAGTCCTCGGGCAGCCATGCCTCGAACCAGAACCCGGAACGGTTCGAGGTAGGGACATGAGCCGTAATGCGGCAAAGATTCACCGATACAGACTGAGTGAAGATGCCGCACGTGGCATCGGCTTCGGCGAGAGCGAGCTCTGTTCCGGACGTGATGTACTCTGACGTGAAACAGACACCACCAGCTGAAGACGTGAAGGACTCGCAGTGCTGCTGAAAGTCTGCCATGCCATTGACGAGTTCAACCAAGAGACCGGCATGAGCTAACAAGCCCACAACGCTGGGTTTGACCATCGCTACGCCTGTTTGGTAAGGTGTAGCGAGTTTGAGACAGTGTGCCTTCAGCCGTAGTCGCGACTGGGCAGATGAAAAGGTTGAAGAAGTATGACGCCGGGTATGAAAATGAACCTACTCCATGGGAGCTGAATATATTGTATCCTGATGAAGCAGAGCAGCTTACATAGCCAATACCGGCCACTCACTTCAGGAGATATGCATGCCAAGCCTCTGCTCATTTTCAGAGTGAGTGGAGGCAATCAAGAAAGTGAGGAACCACAACGTGAGCAAGTTCCCATCGTTTTATCCGCTAAGGCAACATGCACTACTGCCAGCTACCGGGGTTACCGGACCTGCCTATCAAAGCTGATTGAAGCCTCGGATAGGTTTGAGGCCCTGTCATTGGCAATGATAGTGGCTGCACTCGGCCGACAACGGGTATGATCTCAGTCCCTCCGGACCATTGAACCCGTAGCAAGAAGAGAGGGAACTCAGTCAATGCTACTACGCTTCTTTTTCTTCCAGAACGAGTTTGAGGCACAAGGACAAGAGAACACATATTCTCGCAGTCTAGAACCCTGACATAAAAATCGGCAAGACATTGCAATAACTCAGCGAGGTCATGCGATGGTTCTGTTTGGTTTCAAAGTTGCTCCAAACCAGCATCCGTTTCGTTATGGGCTGTATTCACTGTTGGTGTATACCAGGTCAACTGGCCATGAATTGGACTTCGGCAAATTTTAGGCGGTCTTGCGGGAAGCTAGTCTTCTCAAGCATTGTGTCCAGAATCGATGTTAGACTCCCTGTATATGAAGTGCTAGAAGATGACTAGACCCTGATCAAGAAGTCGGAATGATGTTACTCGCTTGTGACTAAGTACCTCCGAGGGAATAATTGCCTCTTTAGGTAGTTGCCAATGGTTATCGTTGCCGTTTGTCACTTTACGGAGTGCTCAGGAACTTCGAGTGTGAGGACTCACCCCTGTCCCGCTCACTGCGGTGCGTCTGGTGGGTCATTTAGCAAGTAAGGTTAATTTGTGTCTGGATCATCAAGTCCGGGCTTATGTCCATTATGTAAACCTCAAGTGTGCTGACATACTACTTAGCCGCACTATCTTACTAGGAAACCTTCTCTTTGCAAAGGATAGCGACCAATATCGAACCCACACTTTTTTGGCAAGTGTACACGCACTTTTCATGTTACTTTGAAACGGTTTGATCATGCAAGCTGTAAGCCATTTCACATAAAGCTCAGCGACTATTCACAAAAGCGATAGAAACCATTGTCGATCTTTACTGTTTGATACTTGACTTAGTACTCAACTCGTTTAAGACCAGATGTGCCTTCTACGAACCCAGAGTAGCTTCAGAAGGAGCCGGAGAGAGGTAGACATCGACCGAGCCAGGATAGTGAGAGGATCTCTCAATGACTCATGGCTCTGGGAGTTCAGGTGTGATCTACTTAGTGAATGGTACCTCGGGTTCTCCAAGTCGGCCCGAAGATGCGTCCATTTCTACTGAAAGGAATGTCTTCTTTGGGTCTCCCAGGGTAGACACAACCAAGCCCACATGGTTGATGTAACAAGAGGCACAGAGCTTCGGGTCTCTCCGAGAGACCTCGCGCAGGAATAGGATACGAGAGCGAGTGTGGGTCGTGGAAAATGGAAGTCGGATCACGTGACGGGTCGTGAGGCTTCAAATGATTGAAGCTATCACGACAATAGGTAGGTAATGAGAAAATTATGTAGGGAGCAGGATACAAGTTAGCTTTGAACACCCTTATTGTACCATTTCTTTCGTATTAATGGCCGTTTGTCACAGTTTAACTCTTCTGTGAAACCATGTAGAGAAACAATAGAATGAATTTGAACACTTGATGCCAGTTGGTCGCAAATAATCTACATTTCCAACTTCTCTCATTCGGCAGTCTTTGTGTGGTATTTAGGTATGACTAAGCTTGTAGCGCATTCCATGTAGACAACTACCTAGTAGCTTAGCCTGGCTGTTTTTGATGGGGGGAATCCGAGGATGTGGCTATGCGTTCAATTAGGCGGGGCTGTGCTGCGATGCTTGCGTACACGGGCTGATCAAGGAATTTTCCTCAATTGTCATATCAATGGAATACCTTCCGCTCGTCCACTCTTAGTGCGTGGAGATGCTGTAACTTTGGAAGTTAGAACGCATCAAGCTCTTGAGAGGACGCACATTCATGAATCGCGAATGCCGGCAGCTGAAAAGGGGCCACTGACTGGGATTAAGAGCTCCGCGCGTTCCACGGAGAACGGTGATTGACGAGAATCGCCCGCGCGACGACAGCATGGTTCGAGAAACTCGCGCCTCAGCGCGTCACAACGATTCGAGCGACACCGGAAGCACAGTGGCAGACAACGCCAGGGCCCAAGAGACTCGCCGCTCTCACAAGAAGTCTCGGAATGGATGCGCAGAGTGCAAGCGCCGTCACATTCGCTGCGACGAGCGTCAGCCCTCATGCGCGAATTGCGAGGTGGCAGAACGTGCCTGTTTCTTCCCACCGCCAAAAGTGAGCAAGCAGAAGCGCAGACAAGCACAAAAACCTCAATCACAAGGCGAAAGGTCACAGGGCACATTGGTGCGAAACGCCCGATCACCATCACCAGGCTCCAGAGGAAGTAGTCATGGCAATACAAACAATGACGCGAATGCGCTGATTGAGCGCGCACAGCTGCCCTCACAACCAGCTCATCGTCAACAAAGCAACTTATCCGAACTCACTCATGCGCCAAGCCATCCGTCTCATGGCCTGCCATCAAGGCCTGCAGACGTGCCAGCCGCGGTTGGTCTCGGCCTAAGTTCTTATCAGAGTGACCAGACACAATCCCCAGCTTCGACGACGCAGCTGAGCGGCACCCATGCTCCTCCTCCATCTCTAGACTGCCAGCTCGGCTTGTCAATATTAGGCACGCCAAACGCACCCTCAGAGGCCATCTACACACCACAGCACATGATATTGCTACACCATGCAGCCTCAGTCCCATACTTCACCGGCCCAGCCCGAAGCGCCCTCGACATCGCCGTTCGACGCGCCGTGGACTCACCCTACCTCCTCGACGAGATCCTCGCCTTCACAGCCTTCCACATGGTCCAGCTCTATCCCGGGTCATCCGCCCATCTCCACGACCTCGCCACAGAGCTCCAGAACCGCGCTCTCTCATCCTTCACACGCCTCACGGAAACAGTAGCCAGAGACGACAAGGTCACCGCCGTCCCTCGCTTCCTCTTCTCCGCCATCCTGGGCAGGCATGTCCTCGCCGACACCCTCGCTCACTACCGCTCCGACTTCAAGTCCTTTATCGACCGCCTCGTCGAGTGCTTCAACCTCAACCGCGGCGTCAAGTCCGTCACCCTGCCGGCCCGGAACTTCCTCCGAGACACCGAGCTCGCACCCGTCCTCAACGTCATCCTCGAGGCCGAGAAGAGGATGAGCACGAGGGGCGACGAATGCGGGTCTCTGAAACGCCTCCTAAATGACTCCGACCTCAGTGATTCGAGCGCGAGAGCGTGCCACGAAGTCATTGGGCTTCTGCAGTGGTGCTTCGACATTTGCCGCGTCCTCGACGAAGGAGACTACGCCCAGGCCGCGTCGACGTTCTCTGTAAAGGTGCCGGTCGGCTTCGTCGATATGCTGCGGAAGCACCGTCCCGAGGCCCTCATCATTCTGGCACATTACGGCGTCTTGCTGCACCGTTGTCGTACCTTTTGGCCCTTTGCTGACGCTGGCGCCTTCATTATCCGCGCCGTTGCTAGGCATTTGGGTAATTACTGGCAAGAGGCGCTTTCGTGGCCCCTGCTAGTGCTTGAAACTGAGCCGTGAGCCATTGTATACCGATTCCACGTCGCTGTACAGTCACTGAATTTGCGACACGAACCATATGAGCACAGGATCTACTCGGGAATCATCTTAGTAAGACTGTGTATATATGGTAAAGTCTACACCACGCTGGGACACTACCTCAAAATTATGTCAACATGTATTCCAGCATTGTGTTCCTCAAATCAGGTGTCCTTTTTCCCAATCCAATTACGGGAAAGCAGCCTTGTTCGCCTCCAAGAACTCCTTCCAAGTAGTCGCCTTCAGCCCAACGCCAGCCAAAAGCTCCTGACTCTCCTTCAAGTCCTTACCGGCATAGTACCCGGGCTCGTCAATAAAGAGGTGGTTCTCGAGCATCTCGTCAGCCATGGCAGCCATCGGACCAGCGAAGAAGGACTTGTACGTCGCAGCGTCGACGGGCAAGAAACGGGCTGTCTTGCCAGTGACTTGCTCAAACTCGGCGACGATCCGCGTGGGCGTGTAGTAGTCCTCAGCTGCCAAGATCTGCTTGCCGAGGAGGGTGCTATCATTGCGGATTGCCGCGACGACGTACTTGCCTACAAAATGAAGGTATTAGCATCGGACTGAGCGCTTCTAGGAATCACTCACCAATATCGGACTCGGTGTCGATGAGAGGGAACTTGGCCTTGTCGCTGACAGGATACGCCAGGTTGTAGACCCCATCCTCGCCCTTGCGAATCATTTGCAGTGCAGAGAAGTTGCTCATAAAGTACCCCGGCAGGACAAAGGAGCTGGGGATGCCCTTGGCGCGGATGTAGCGCTCAACCTCGGCCTTGTCGTCAAAGTGGACAACATGCTTGAGGCGGCCGTTGGTGGTCTCGGTGACGTGCAGCAGAGATGAGTAGATGAGGTGCTTGACGCCGGTCTCGGCCGCGATGTCGGCCACGTTCTTGCCGTGAGCCTGCTCTTCGCTGGCGCCACCCGTGAAGTTGGGCGTGGTCATAAAGAAGACTGTGTGGGAGCCCTTGATCGCCTCGGCGAGAGAGGTCTTTGAGTTCATGTCGGCCTTTCCCCATGTTAGAAATCTCTCAGTCTACATCAAGAATGATAGCAGTCGGATCATACAGAAACGACCTCGACGCCCTTGCTGGCTAAAGCTTGAGCTGCGGGCTTAGAGACGTCCCGAGTGATGCCACGAATTTTGTACTCTTTTGATAGAACGGCGTCGGCGAGGGCTGCTCTCACGACGGAACCGCCCTGATTGCCAGTGGCTCCGAAGATGGTGAGAAGTTTAGACATGTTGAAGATACAAGACGTGTTTTCGGTTTGTGTCTGGCGGGTTGGTCTGTGTTGAGGAAGATGATGGTTTTCAGTCTGTGGGATGTGAGGGGGGAAGCTAGAAATGCACACGAGCATCGCTCGACTTTATAGCTACAGCCCGATTTGCGGTCGCATGCAGTACGTATCTTTGTCATGTTCCTATACTTCCATTCTCTTGCCTTTGGCGAAACTACGCAAGCATGCCATGAATCAAGCAGTTGCGTCTCGGCTCTGAGCATCGGCCCACGATGTGGGCCTTTGGAAGGCGGGATTCCCGACTTACAAACACTGTTCCACCAAGGACCGGACTTTCAGCCGTCGGTCAGATTCTCATCAAATTCAATTCTGATATGATAAGCAAGAAACAATGACGTGGAATTTGAGGTACACGTACATCTTCGGGGATAGAGACGAGGTTACTCTTGCCAAGGCTACATTGAGTGCGAGTCGGCCTTCGTCGGAGACCGGTGCCACGTGGGTGTGGATACGCCCTATGTTAGAAGCTTGACTATCAATATCCTGATTCTAATTGCAAGTCTTCTCTTCGATTCCACTCCCTCGATCTCTTGAACAAGTGCGCTTGATAGGAGTACCGCTATCTAGGTCCTTCCTCTATCCTTCAAGCAGGGCTCACGAATCACTTACCTTAGTATAAGTAAATTCGTTAACGGGATATCAAAGGGCATGGTCCAATTACGTCTCGTCTGCGGCGAATCTTTTCGTTCAGTTTCGGAACTTTTCACAATGTGTAAGAAATATAGTCTCTTCTTTCTTGAGCATTAAACATAACTTTGGATATGATTGCAAATAAATAAAAGACGATAGTTAGGTTTGTTAAGAGAGCCGATGCTACCTTTTGAGACCGTCAAGCTTGATACATGCTTCATCGTTGAAATTCCATATAGACCATTTCTCTTCGATTATTACAATATAAGCCGTATTACTACAGTGGCTCTTGCTTTCTTCTACCCAGGACGCATCTGTGACGTGATTCCAAACGCCCTCCTCAAGACCGAATACTACCTGCGTACTCGCTCTCCGCCTTCAGCCAAGTCTCAAAGTCCTTCAGCCCAGGATACTCCTTTCTCAGCGCCGCAATGTCAACATCATACCCAACATCGTGGAACCACTTGAACATGTACCCAAAGTCCTTCACCATCGTCATGATCAGCCAACACAAGACCCTATACGTCCCAGGCAGCTCCTTGCCCGTATTCCTCTTGAACACCGCAGCAAACTGCTCAATCGTCAAATCGTCGCCCGCAAGCGAGACCCCGCGGCCCTTGTACTTCTCAGGGTGTAGAAACGCCTCGGCGCCAAAGTAGCCAATGTCGCTGACAGCAATAAGCTGCAGCGGCTTCCCCTTGACCGCCATGCGCCACGAGGTGGTGAAAACCCTCCCAAAGAGGTTGTCCGTGAGGTTGTCCATGAAAGCCACGGGGCGGAGGACGGCCCACTCCATGTCGGTGCCCTTGGACTTGTTGAAGAGGTGCTGCTCGATCTCGTGCTTGTGGGCGAAGTGAGGCACATTCGTCGCGTTGTCTGCGCCGTGACGCTCGACGGAGGTGTAGACGAAGAATTTGACGCCTGCTTTGAGGGATGCGTCGACGAGGGCTTTGCCTTGGCCTAGTTCGCCGCCTCCACCTTGGCCAAAGCCCATTGGGACCTGGAATGCACATCAATATCAGCCAAGTTTGTGCACACAACAGAAACGTATTGTTCGCTATCAAAAGGTAAGAGTTTTGTAGGTACCTGGACGCTGAAGACTCCCCAGATAGGAGACGAGGCGACATCTTGCGCAGTCTTGAAAAGCGCAGTCGGGTCGGCCAAGTTACCCTGGACGAGGCGAACTTTGGACGACTTTTTCAAGAGACGCTGGGCGGATCCGGAGGTTGCATCGCGGGTGACGGCGAGGATCTCAAAGTCGGCATTCTGTTCGACGAGGTGGTTGATGACTGCGCCGCCCTGCTTTCCAGTCGCACCGCAAACCAGAATTGCTCGTGCCATTGTCGATGTTATTATTATGAGATTGGTTGTTTGGATGTTTGAGTGTTGATACAGTAGTTAAGTGATACACAGAAACTACACCTTCGAAAATCGAGACAACAACTCACGTCAAATACATTCATTCTCCACGAGGCAGCGGAGTTTCACAATCATCATGATGCGCCCGATAGAAAAGTCCGCGGCTAAGAAGGTACCGATCTAGCTAGGGAGGATCGGAGTGGTGACGCTTGCGAGAATGCAGCATGCGACGTTGGGAAGCTACTGAGGAAAGATGACCAATCCTGCGGCGCATGTTCCTTCGATACGCCCAAAACCGGGGCCGAGACGACCTTCTTCTCTGACTGGCATGGTGCGCTGTGGGCCTCGCCCTCCGACGAACGCCGAGTCGGAGCGCGAAAGTGGGTCTTCTAAGACGGCCCGAGGCGGGGGGAAAGGTGTCCGGCTTACTGTTGTGGCCGTTTCTTCGAGAACCTTGATGTCTAAGCATTTGACCTCTCTCTTCAAACTCTTCTAGGTAAGAAGGCAACATCTCTTTCTTGTTTGTTGACATTGAAATTGTCTACGAACACGTGACAAAGAAGATGGAAATGAGTAATTGTCCTAGACGTTGAGGCCGTTCGCTCTCTTTCGATCCAATCATTTCGCCGTTTTGAAGTATGCTGTAATTCTAAATATTTCTCAAATCCCAGAACATCCATCATTAATCTCAGCGGTCGATTTCTTGTTACCCAAAGATGAAGAGCCGGAGGTCGAACTCCCCCAGACGGCACACGTTTAGCCCGCGCCGGCTCCCGACCGGGCGGAATATGATCCCTGATACAGCGTACCACTAGCATCATTCAGACCACAAACTGACATCACCAACTCTGGGCTACCCGGATCTGAGGTTCCCTTCATTTCAACAACCAGAAACACGACAGGGACCTTGCGCGTATGGAACAACAAGAGCCTCGTCGGGCTTATATTTCATTCGCTCCTCGAGCCAAACTCAGGTCCCATTTGAGTTTTCTTGCCAAGTTCGAGCACCGCAATTCCTCAATAACCTTTGTCATCCCTCTAGGCAAACATCAGGCTAAGAAACGGCAACTATGAATAGAATTTCGTTTGATGTCTCAGCAAGTAAAACTCTGCCAAAGTTTGCTCAGGAAAGAGGTCTCTACCTATGCCGACTGTATTAGGAATAGAATTCCGCGGTGACAATTGAACTCCTCTGTTCAGCTGTAGTCATGCAATCACACATGTTAACCTCTCAACGTCGCGTCCAGAGCGCGATGCCATCCAGTGAAACAGATAAAACAGAAGGGAGACAGATATAATGACAAGCAACAAGCTACGAGTTATAGTCATAGGCGGCGGCATAGCAGGCCTCTCCGCCGCCGCCGTCCTCCGTCAAAAACACGACGTGACAGTCTACGACCGCGACGATCCGACCTCATCCTCCTCCTCCTCCTCCGCCTCCGCCCCGGAACGCGGCGCCGGCATCGGCCTTGGTCCCAACGGCACAAAGATGCTCAAAAAGGCCTTTCAATTCAGCCCCGAAAACGTCAAGGCCACGATCTGCGCCGGCTCGAGGACGTACGATAAGCAAGGGAATCTGTTACGGGAGATGACGGGCGTATCGGAGCCGTTTGGGAGCGAGTGGCTCCTGATGCATCGCGGCGACTTGCGGGACGAGCTGTTGAGGCTCGCGACGGGGGACGCGGCCAAGTTGGGGATTTCGGGACCGCCGGCTACGGTTGTGGAGGGGGTTCAGGTTGTCGGTGTTGATGTTGAGGAGGGGAAGGTGAAGTTGAAGGACGGGGAGGAGGTAATAGCTGATGTGATTGTTGGTAAGACTACACACATGCATGGGACCATATCAGACTTGTTGCACAGGTATCCAGGAATTGACGGACATGCTTAGGCGCAGATGGCATCCACTCCCTCGTCCGACAAGCTGTCCTCGGCGGGCCATCTCACATGGTATCACCGGGTGCCTCACTCTACCGGTTCACATTCCCGCTTGAGAAGGCGAGGGATATCCTAGGAGGGTACCCGGCGGCGATAGACCCGTCCAACAGCAACTTTCTCAACATGATGACGGCCGACGACGAGACGCACCGCAACATCATCTTTTATCCCTGCCGTGACATGACGCTACTCAACGTCGTGGCGAGGATCCCCGACGCCATGCTCTCGGTGGAGAGCATCACGTCTTGGAAGGCCGAGGGGAGCGCGGAGGAGATGCTGGATCACTTTTTCGACTTTGCGCCGTGGATGCTGGCGATTATGAAGTAAGTCTTATTTCTCCCTCCATCGTCACCTCACAATCAATCAGACACATAAAACGAGAGTCGCTCACACCAAGCACATCAAGAAACGCTCAAAACATCCACCTCTACAAGGTCAAGGACGCAGACCCGCTCCCAACCTACACCCGCGGCTGCGCCGTCCTCGTCGGCGACGCAGCGCACCCGATGACGCCGTTCCAGGGCCAAGGCGCGACACAGGCTATCGAGGACGCCGAAGGATTACGGCTGCTTCTCCATGAGAGTGTCAGCGCCGATGACCTGGAGAGCATCACGTTGGCGCTGCGAACGTGGGACTCGGTGCGCAGGCCGCGCGCGTCGCAAGTGCAGCAGAACTCGAGGCACGTGACGGATATGTCGGCGCAGGCGCAGCTTGATCGGATGAGGTTGAACTGGACGTATAACGGGATTCACGCGGCGTTAAGGAACCGGTAGACGTGGGTGGGCGGGTGTGCCCCGCAGAGAGCATGGGACAAGGTCATGTCTAGATGGGTTGGGTGAATTTGGGTATACTGCCTACCTCCCTACTGTGTAATACCTAGCACTGATTTCTGATCAATGGATCAAAGAGGGCAGAGGAAGTCGAGAGCAGACGGCTGATTCCGCGACAGCTCAGGGTCTTAGGCTACTGCAGATCTTGCCAGGGGCTAACATTCTGATATCCCCACCCGCAAGGTACATCAT